GAAGACTACAATACAACTAGTAAATCTCTTTCTTTATCAGTGAACAAATATCTCAGAGTTCATTGCTAACGAGGAGAGGTATTCATTGTTGAAACAAACTGTCAAAACCTAAATAATTTACCAGGCAAACACTAAAGCATACTAGATAGTATTTTATAACGATAGAAAATAATTTTAATCATTGTAATGAAAATGACATATACTGTCTAACGATACATAAACATACATTTCCAAAGCAAAGTTAAATGCTCTGAAGTAATAATTTGAGTTACTGTTATCGCCAATACTGTTATCATTATTTCTCCTAACTCACATGCTTTCAGTCGAATTTTTTCGTTGACCTTAACTTACTTTAGAATTTTAAATACATAGACAAATAAGTGAACACACTTATCCTATTATTAATTTAAAGTATCTAACACAACATGAATCAACAAAGTTTAATCTCAGATAATTGAGCATCCGAATAGTATTTAGCCAAAAAAAAATACAAATTTGTATTCAGCTGTTGACTTGTAGTGCGAAATTTCCTATTTGATTGATTTTCTTTTTTGTGTAATTTAACGATTTGAACCTATTCATCATTATACTAAAAGCTGTTACTTGTTTCATTGGTTAATATACTTTTATTGACTGGAATAACCATTGTCTATTAATAATCTACCTTAACTCGTGAACGTTCACTTCATAAATAAAGAGATTAGAAAGAAAATTACTTATAAAACAGTAAAAACTTTTTGTAATAAAGCTGAACAAGAGCAAGTGAGTTTTATACTTTTAAAGTATAAAGATTCCATCTTTGAAAGACTATTGCATATTTAGTTATAAAGATTATCTTAAGCACATAGTAGAATAAACGTGAAGCAGGTTAGAATGAATGGTACACATGATTAATTAGCGTGATAATAAAAGAATCCTAAATAATAGGCAAAGAGTAGAATGCTAACCATCAAGCTATATGTCTGTGAAGTTTAACTTCGTATCATTATCTCTTCATTATTTAAGGATGTTTTTAATAGAAATAAATCTAAAAAAACTACCAAAGCATTGTAGAAAGTGGATGTTGCACAGGATGAAAACTTCAAGAAGCTGAGTAGGCATCAAGTGAAATGAGAGAAGCATCTCCAACATAAAACAAAGCAGAAATTTGTCAGAAATTATGATCACCCTAAGATGAGATTGTACACTCCCTAGAAGTGAATGATAACTGTCAAAAGTAAGTAGTTTTTAAAACTCATACCTCACTTTATTACGTTCAGAGCTTTCGTTGCGATCGATTTCAACGGTAAACAAAAATATCCTTGATCATACACAGACTTCAGTTTTGGAATCATGGGGGAATCAATAAGTAATTTTCACTTTGTTAACTTTATTCCCGGATGCCTCAACAACTAAAAACATACATTCTTCTTGAAAAGGACATTTGAACCTTTGAATTAAGGCATAAAATTATTGAAGTAAAGTGACTAGTATTTTCTAAATTTCAGTCAAATAATGTTGTATCATCACTCAATGTAATAAGATGTTACACTATCCTAACATTACGACTGTTATCCAAGCCACTATTCATTGACTAATACATCTTAAATAAGCAAGCATTTCATGAGATGGATGCTCAACTAATTAATAAATAAGTATATATAATCCAAAGATCCATCAAGAATAGAATGTAATATTTCCTTAATTTACTGCTTTCAGTTTATTTAGAATAACGAAACCATTTGAAATAATGAAAATTCTACAGTAAGAGATCAAATAAATTGTCTCTTTCATACCCAACAGTAAACGATGTTAAGATTTAAAATTAATATCTGTATTGTATAGTTTTATGGAAAATTATCAGTAGAATCCAAGACGTGAATTCTCTTCCCCTTTGCCTTCTTCGTTAGGTTATATCTAGACTCCTATAACATTTATGCTAATGAGAAAAATAGGACTCTTCTTCATTCCAAATTGTTACACACTAATAAATAGAAATGAATAAAACGCCGCTAGATAAAAGCTTAAAATGAACTTTGGTCATAAAATGGTTTCCAAGAAGCGATTGGGTTATAATGAAATGAAGGCCTGGATTTAAGCTTAAATGTTCACGGGATTTCCAATGAAAACTCACGTCGGTGTAACCACTCCATCAAAGCTGAAAAATGTTTTAAAATAATTCAGTTTAAACCATGATCACTTACAACAAGCTGCATATAATTTCGGGCTAATGAATAACCATGTATAAGTTAGGATTATAAATGATCAGGCATATATGCATCCTGTGAGGATTGCTTCAACAGTCCTATGAAATCACAGGCAATTTAAGCAGATTTGAATGGCTAAACGCGCTTCCTGGATTCCGATGCTAGCAACCATCTAGAATGTACAAGTTACTAACAAGCCTAGTTTAGTTAATACGATGAACTAGAAGGATATAATATTTGTTATAATTACCTAGCAGATTTGTGTTAAAACTTCAGTCCAATATTTTATAACAAAATGAGTATTGAAAAATCAAAGGATTTGGAGGCATTTTTTGGATCATTACTTTTCAGATTTTTATTGTGCGAATAGAATATATATATATATATATATATATATATATATATATATATATATATATTTCTACTCATTGTACGCTCCCAGTGGACCTATTAATTATTCTTATGGATTTTACTTTGGTAAAACAAGTAGGTACAGTTCGTTTCACTTTCTGCAACTTATGTTATGAGTGTCAAAATAAGGATTTGTGGTTTTTGGTCTGATGATTCGTATATATGGGCTGGCGGTTGAGACAGATGCTGTCCGAGCTGTCCAGGCTGGGTGATTAAAATATAGTGACAACAGAAGCTTGACTGCTAACTCTTCTTTGGATTCAGGGTTATTATGGTAAAAGGCTTGTGGATAGTGACCAATAAGAATGCAGTTTACAATAGGTCACGGTTAACTGTGCCATTCATGACGTACTCTTTGCTGAGGGCGCTAGAATGTATTCGGGAGAGCAGAAGCGGGGCAGAAAAGTAATAACAGTAAATTCTGACTGGTGGACTGAGTAGGTGATACCGATTAGACGTAATAGTAAAAATGATTAGTCCGGGTTTGAATAGCACAGTGGTAACTTTATTGACTGCGGCAAGAGGTGCTATGGATTACAGACTCATTTTTTAGGATTGCAGATGAGCAATACTGATCAGTGCAGATTATCACTAAGTCTAGATTCAAGGACTTTTACTGTTGACTTTCTAACATTCGAAATTACTTATTTCTCTGAGATTAGTTTGGAAAGTCGAGTAGTATCGTTTATATAATAAGTATGGTTTAAAATAGGACACATGAGCCTATTAGTAGTTATTGAGTTATTTTGTTACATTTGCCTGCAGATGGATTTAAATTCATGTTGTACTGCCTCCGCATACATTCGATTTCGCTCATATTTAATTTGGTTAAGCCTTTTGATTAACTTATTTAACCAAGCCATTTGTATAGCAACAAATTATATGTACCATTGGCTTTTCCTATTGTTTGGTTTGTATGAGCTGGTACTACTGAACATCGATTACCGCATACGCGAATATTCATCCTACTCGCTTTAATGTTAGCCTTTTAAATATTACGATGACTCAGCCATTTTTCTATGTATACATATGTACATTTTAATCTTATAAATTAATTCGCCAATTCGCCCGCTTACTAGCGTGTTTGCCCTTCTCTGTGTGCTAAACGAATGGCTTCAATTTAAACGGCAAGTAATTAGTGGCTGGTAGATGTAAGGATAACAATAGATTTTAAAGAGTACAGCACAGTTCTTAAGTGAAACCCAAAAGACAGTTAGATGATTATATGAAGACCTATAGAACTGTGAGTCATTACCTGTAAGTGTGCAGAATAAATTAGTGTTAAGTATTTACTAATAAGTTAGAAGTGGAGACATCAATGATGAGCAAGTTGGATCTGATACAGATATGAAGGCACGTATTGGAAAAGCAGAGCAGCATTTCTAATGTTAAACAACATCTGGAATTCAAAACAACTTTCAAGGAACACTAACGTCACAATTCCCGATACAAATTTCATGACGGTCATACTGTATGGTGTGGAAACTTGCAGAACCACGAAGGCCATCATCCACAAGGTGCAAGTGTTTATTAACTGTTGTTTACGCAAAATACGTCAGATCCGTTGGCCAGACACCACCAGCGAAAATCTACTGTGAGAGAGAAAAAGCCAGATTCCAGTAGAGGAAGAAATCAAGAAGAAGCTCTGGAGATGGATGGAACATACTTAGAGGAAAGCATCCAACTGCATCACAAGACAAGCCCTCACTTAGAATCCTCAAGGCCAAAGGAAAAGAGGAAGACCAAACAACACATTACAACGAGAATCAGAAGTAGACATGAAAATAATGAGCAGCAGTTGAGCAGATCTGGTAAGGAAAGCCCAGGACAGAGTAGGGTGGCGAATGCTGGTCGGCGGTCTACGTTCCATTAGGACTAACAGGCATAAGTAAGTAAGTACTATGAAACTGTGAAATTGGAATATTAAACGATGATATTCAGTCGTCAGAAGTAGATAAATAAAGTCTGATCGTAGGTATCTTGAGTGCAAGTGAGTAGTGTTTGACCTTACTGAAGTCTCATCATGACCAACGTAGTCACATCGCATTCTCTATTGGAAATTTAGATACATATTTTTGAGTCATAAAATGCAACTTTAACCGAAGAAAAGTTTCAGTTTAGTTATTTCTATAGCAGACAATAAAGAAACAAGTAGACTTTCTCACCTAATTAGGATCTGTCAAATTATAATTATATCATTCGATTCGTACAAAACAACTTAGAATCAATCTATCTCTATTGTATCAACAAGAATGATAACATAATGAAGACGGAAAGTATGATACTAAAAAATCAGTTTATAGAAAACGTCCATATTTATCAAAAAACGATAATCGACTTAGATCAGTTTTACCTAGTCCATTTAAAGACCTTCAGTCATTCTAAAAACAAGTGTAGACTTACCTGAAATAATAACTGTTCTAATGTTCTTGCCAAATGTTGTACCATTTTGGTTCTTTGTTCGTCATTAGCATGTACTGCTTGACTAGCACATAAAACTAAATGCTGAACGTCTGTTCCAACTCTATTGTAGCATATCATTTGCCAAATTAATCGAGGTAGATAGAATAAAATACACTGTAGGCCAAGAACAAATGGTACCCATTGATAGTAAACTATATAAAATAAGGCAGATATTTAGTTGGACTTGATACAGAAGAACAAATAACATGTTTACTAGGAAACAAGATACTGTTTATTTTCAATATTTCTTATCGGCCCATCAGTATTATCCCCATGTGTTTATCTGAATAAGTTCTTGTTGGTTGATTTCGATTAAAAGTAAATAATTTGGCAATTATCACACGTTTCGTATGTGAGTTTCATTGATGAAACACCAATGAAGTTCTCCTTCAAAACTCAGTGAAAACTAACTGTTGATCAAGTCAGTAAAGGCAAAGTCAAATACGGTGTACCGTCTAACTAAAGAAAATGTTCAACGGTTTAAACATGTCACAGAGAACTAGACACTGTATTGGTCGAGAACTCACTGACAGCTAAGGTGTTTGCATCAATCAAAGTTATATCTATCCAAATAGTTGCATATCAGTTGACCTGTGGAGGTTCACTGTCTAAGATGTAAATCATTTGTAGGCAGACAGATAACTGAATCTCTGACATTAGTTTAAAATTAACTGGAAGACGAGATGAAGTCAGTGGATTGCCCAATAATAAATCCGATTTTTAAAAGTCTCTTAGAACTGTGCATTATTAACGCTAGGGATGTGACCTTAATAGTTACTGTAATCAATTCGATGGAAAGTATTTCAAATTCCTAACCATACAAGAAAATAATCAGTCAAAAAAGAATTTGCATTGAACTCGAGAATTTCTCAAGTACAGCAGAATCATATATCAAACTACTGAAATACAAAAATCCTATACTTGTTGAAAAACCCTTGAGCATTTGGAATTTTCCAGCTGTTTTCCGAAATGTATTTGTCAAAGGGTGAAATATTCCAAGTAACTATACTAAACTGCCTCATCATCATCTCTCTCTCTCTCTCTCTAGGGTTGTAGTTTTAGTTACAATTTTTTTCAAATGATTTTCCAACCACACCGACAGTGTAAAACAACGAAACACTGACAACTATGAATGGTTGTATTGCAGCTTGAATTAACTGGACCACCGATTTTGTGGTCTCTGTGTGAAGTTATGCATGTTCACTCTTGACGAACCCGTAGTAGAGACGAAAGGAAATGGTTTGCAATGATTTTGCTAGAACTACTACTAAAGTTGAATCAAAAGACGCAGTAGCCATAAATCATGACCACTTCAAGTCTACAATTAACTTGTTCTCTAATACACAGAATCTAATCATTTTATTTCACATATTCTACATAATTAGCAGATATGTATGGCTTAAAACCTCTAACTTCATGCAGAAATGGAAAACACTAATTGAGACTTATCGGTATTTCATGTGTGTTGCAATGTGTGCAACAATATCGTTAACTCAGTGATCTTGAAATTACTGTTGTCTTTTTCATACTGACATTATCACTAAGAAGATTTCAAAAAAATTGTGATATGAGTGATTGGAAGAGTGGAAAAAAGAATTATTAATGATTGGTTTCAATTAATTATATTGATACTAGCAATGACGATTAAATGTATTCACAACAATAAAATGATATTGTGTCACAATAGTTTAACCAATAACTGAATATGTCTAGACAGATAGAGAGTTTGTAATCGTACAATAGCAAAAAAATAACAGTTATATTTTCCCTAAGTTCATCATCCAATATTCGGTATCATATAGTGGACAAAAAAAATTTATGACTACAATTTCCTTCATTGCTTGTTGTACAAACAGCTATAATGTGATTTTTGTTACAGAAATCCTATTATTCATTTATCATCTACCTAATTACTTTTCATGATAAGACTAACTACATAAACCAATCACGAATATACTACATAATGAATTTAATTTTCGCTTGTAATAGGTAAAACGATAATGAGAAGAGATGAAAATTATGCTTAAAATGTGAAAATTTAATACTCACGTAATTTGTGTTTTTCTAACTCCGCCCACCCTTCATCTGTCTCTGGTATTCGACCGGAATATGCTATGGGAACAGTGCCCTGAACCCAGCAGTAGTTCTCTACATAATCTAATAAGTTTTTGCCACCCAAATCTGTTGCCATGTAGCATGAAATCGGTTTCATCATATATTGTTTAACTGTAACAATTGTTGTACACAGCATGAGAACCATGACTGTGATAATAAAATTAAACTTGTCTGCAAAATCTTCAACTCCGACATAGGTGGCAACTTGAAATTTGGATAAATAATCTAGGAAATCTGTGCCGATCATATCGACCGTAATCTAAAGACCTTTTACATTTTATGCTAGAAAATTTAAAACACGGTTTTATGAGCTGTGTGAATGGATGCTATGATTGGGGAAATCGTTAACTTTTTATTGGCTAGTTGAAAAATCAATTCAGTTGCTCCTAATCTTATTGGCCAATTAGGAATCGTGGGCGGTCAATTTATTTTGTAACCATAAAGGCTTGGGATTAGACACTAAGCCAGAAATTAGTGTTACAGACGTTGTGTAATTAGACAAAGGTAGTTAGCGTTTGCTCTGAAAGATGACCAATCCTGACGTTACCTATTTCCAAAGATAACTTTAAAACTGTCTGAAACCTAGAAACGGCTGTGAATTAAAATGTTTTATTACAGTTTCTATTTATTTTCACAGAATGGCATGTCCAACTTCTATCTGACTTGATGAAAATCTAATTATCATCTATAAAACATGGAAAATAACAAAACTAATATAAAATTAGTGATTATAAGGTAAAAGAGTATGCAAATATAAACCTTTTAGCTTTCATTAAAATAAAGATATCCATTCATACGGTATCGTCACATAAAAGCATATTGAGTCAGTTGGTAGTTAGCTGTCTGATAGCTTTGTATCTGATAGTAGTAAGCAGTAGGAGCTGGGACAAGTTTTACATCATCTGCACGGCAAATCAGCTGAATATATGTCAGTCAATCAGTAGCAACACAGAACTTCGTACGTGCATAAGTTTAAGTTGCCATACCATTTTAGCACAGAGGTGCGATGCTGAATGTCAATGTATTGATGGACACATCGAGAAATCAACCCTGAAGATCAATACATACCCCTGAATTCTATCCATTATAATACTCTATTAGGACTTCATATCTTCTTCAGCAAACATTAATAATAATTTAACACATGTTGAATCAAAATAACGCTTTAAGAACTTGGATCTGTTAATGAACATAAATCATCAAACCTGCCAATCAAAATAAATAAGTGGCGACTAAGAAGTATTTTCATTTTCCTTTCCTCATTTAGTTACCTACACTTATCCCAACCGGTTCAGTTTTGACGACTTACTTCCTACCGATCGCAAAATACATTTGTTACGAAGTATTTTCTTGGTTTATTCCTTACACTGCATGACCGAAAACTCCCAGTTTATAACCCTTGGATATTGTCAGAACGCCAAAATGGGAGAAAACTGGAGTTTGTTTCCTGCAAATGATACTAGTTAACGTTAAATTTGGCTAATTTTCACAAACTACCTAGCTAAATTTGAGAAGTTTTTGTTTAAATGAATGATTTCTGAAAAATTGAATGATATTTAAGAAATTCTAAGTTCATTATGAAGCGCCATTTGTAAAACAAACCATTCTGTCTATTTTTATCAATTTTATGTTGTCGTCTACATTATTTTAAGTGATTAGAATTTTTAAGTGCCTAGCAAACTAATGGATCACTGTAAGTTAGTATATCAGATGCAAAGTGGTACTCAATCATTCATTCACCTTGATTCTTCTTTGATATAGTGCCAATTCTGAGACAGGATAACATCGCTATCAGAATCTGAAAGTTATTAATTTTATTTATGGTACTTGAGATTGTTTATTTCTGGACAGAACTAAATGTGTATTGTAAAGTTTTGGGAAAAAACTGAAAATTTATTGATTAATTCAGCATCTATAAAAATGAAGGACAATTTAAAATAAATGGAAACAAAAATAAGCTAGCGTGATCAATATCATTAATCTATATTTCAATGATAAACTGACTTTATCAAATACGGGATTTAGACTCGATGTTAATAAAGTCTTTGAAATCATATCGATTTATTCTTAAAAGGACAAGTATTCTACTAATTCGCCATGTAAGTTAAATCAATGTTCTCGTTTTCAGCGGTCAAGGTCACCTACAGGAATTTAAGGTCATTTAGTTTTATCATAACACATAACATAACAATAGAAGTAGAATCTTCTTTATTTTATGGTAAGCGTATTAATTTTAAGCTCTTAAAAATAAGAAAATGTGCAGATCTGTATATGTGAGAGGTTGTAGTAGTGTAAACTTTATCGTTATGAGCTCATATGATTTGAGGGAATAGTGAGTAAAAATTGAACAATGATCAAGTTATACTGAGAATTTACTGTAATTGAGCAGATCTAATCAATATCATATATAAACATCAGAATTTCAGAAACTTTTATTTGTGTGATAGCAACTGCATACGGTTAAATATAATGGTATAGACATCAGTTTCACTCAAAATTTATTACGGATCAGCAGCCATCCAAGATGGAAAAAAATTCCGAAGCGAGCTAATTTCCATGATATATTAGACTCAACAATCCTGTTGTCCTCACTAGCCTCTAGGTACAAAATTTTTCTCTAGAAATTATAACGAGAAAAGGAACTTGATAGAGTTAAATCAGTTTGTAGGGGACATACTAACTCGTCAAATGCTTTATTACTATGAATTAAGCGAAGTTGAAAATACTGATCACTGGGTTCTGGCTGAATAATATAACGCTCATCGCGAGACCTGGTAGTGCTTGTTGAGTTTGTGTGGATTTGTTAGTTTATATTCCTTGGAGATCTCAAATTCATGTGAACAGGGTGTTTGTTGCAACTTACTTTCAAAGATTTAATAGTTGTTATTCGTTACTGTTAAAATTTTTGTTGAGAATGATGAACGAGTCGACTATGATAGAGTCTTGATTCAAACTAAACGGAGTCACTATTTAAATTATCTGCCAACTTAAAAGATTCGCGATAATTTATATCGCTACATGGTTGATCAGCTCATTAATTTTACGAAAAATAGTGATGTTTTAAAAGAAACAACCAATTTCAGTTGAAATTATTAAGTTGGCAGGACAATATGTGATGAAAATATTTACTTGGTTCATTCTGAGATCGTTTCACTGTGATGTGACAGGGGAAAGTGAAACTTTTATTGGTCATTATGTAAAAACCGTGTTTCTCATTTGATTAATCATATGTTAATTCGCGAGCCACCAAAAGTTATGTTACCTTTGTTGAATATCTTGTAAATAAACGATAGCTCTCATCCCCAAATGTATATTTCTTCGGTAGGATGAGAGCACAGTCCCATCACTTAACTATGAGTTCAGTCACCTCACAATACTTCACACTACAATTATGTTGTTACAACTCCTTAAGATTCTTTGCATTCGAAGAGGAACTCTTTGACAAATGTAATGTAGTAAGATTTTGTTGCATAAACCAAAACACAGTAAAATATAGTTATAAATTTTTACGAGCTATTTACTGGGAAAAAATGCAGTAAAATTACTTCATGCGTATTTATTGGATTATAGGAGATAATTATACAACGAATAATGTTTAGCTATTTCTAACCTGCTTTTTGAAATCAAGTACTAGTATTTCTTCTAAACTAAACTATTTTGCAAATCTTGGGAGAAGTAAGATCTTGTTTAGTTGTTTCTTGATTTATATTTTAGCCACTGAAGTATGCTTTATTACGTAATTAGCGAGTTACAGACGTGCCACATCGGTTGAATATTTCCATTAACAACGGCAGATCTTATGATATATATATATATATATATATATATATATATATATATATATATATATATATATATACTGTCAGTTAGTGATCTTGTCTTCTAAAATTTTTTCCATTTGGTTCCTGGAATTGTACTTGTAAGTTAGCTTACTTACTTCAGCATTTTATCATTTGGCTATGGTGTCATTATCATAAAAATTCTCAACATAGTCCTTTCACCAAAGATTTACAAAGATCGTTAAGGAAATACCCTAATTTGAAGTTTCTGAGACATATCTTTTATCCGTTCAGTAGATGATAGCGAAAATGTTTTCATCATATCTCAGGAATTATAAATTTCAGTTGTAATGATCTGATTTCAGGTGTTAGGGAATCTGAAAATGATTTCGAGGAATGACTAAAGGGTAACTTTAGTGAATAAAGCTCAATTCTTTTTTACTGTGACTTTAGTACAAGTAAGAATAGGTATTACCTAACTTATCTGCTGTTATCTTTTTTCAATTAGTATTTTCATTTTCTTGTAAAACAAAAAAAGAAGACGGACACATGTTTCTTACATAGCACATTGTATTTTAATGAACAATTTAAATCAATATAAAGCAGTTTGCATCCAATATTTCTTCAGATAAATAAAATTGGGATTGTGTTGATTTCTAGTAGTTTCTTCCTTTACCCAGAATAAATCTCGAATGTTAATGTTACTCTGGTGTTACGTTTTCGAAGTTTTTCTGATCTCTATGGAAAGTAAGATAAGTACATTAGTCAATGATTCATCATGAGTTTGATACAGATGAACAGAATGACAATCCATTTCATAAACTATATCCTTTTTATGATGAATGAAGAAATACATATATACGTCGGAAATAGTGGAGAAGTTTAGCGGAGAAGTTTCAACTTGATTTATATTGGAATCACTTTTGCTATAAGTTACTTTTTCCTCTATCACACAAAAGTAATCGATCATTTGACCAATTTAAGACACATTTGAAATCATCAATCATTGTTAGAACACCATTAGAAGCCTGGAAGCACTGGACGGCCGTTTCCTCCTAGTATGGGACTCATCAGCAGTGCGCATCCAAGACTGCTGCATCTCGCAGGATTCGAACCCGGGCGTAGGTAGTAACTACCAAAGACAAATGGATGAGGTCGCACAAAATCCCTAGATCAATCAGAGTTAGACAGTAACACCGTTGGATGCCAACCCACTGGTTCGGAGGTTAGGCATTCGCGCACAATACCGAAGGTTCTGTGTTTGAATCCTGCGAGGTGCAGGAGTCGTGGATGAGCACTGCTGATGAGTTCCATACTAGGACGAAACGGCCGTCCAGTGCTTCCAGGTTTCTAATTGTGGTCTAACATTGACTGACTGATGATTTCAAATGTGTAAAAACACTAATCTCCATAACTCTAATTGAAAATAATTTAAGACACAGAATAAAAGAAACTTATCAGCACTTATTGAATCCATACTAGAATCCATGTAATCAAAAGAATATGAAACACAAGCATAATTATTCAGTGCTCCCTTGGTTTCAAACAACATAATGCTCAAATTACTAGCAATATGATTTGCCTTTATAAAATTAATTTACCTGCTTTATTCATTGATCTCTTGTGGCAATCATTTCTGTCCATGTAGCATCATTCGGTCGATATTTGGACGCCGTATTCTACAGAAGTACAAACAAAGCATCAGTTCAAAAAATAATTGAACAGTCGTAAGTTGAAATTAGGAAACAATGAACATTTGAAAATTTAATAATACGGCAGGATTTGTGGTAGTAAGAAAAAAGGATTGGTTCTAAAAGCGAAAAGGAAATCTGTTGGTTATGGTTATGAATTCAAGTCGTTTTTTAACTTACCGATTATATATTAGACCAAATCAATAAATCAATCTAATACATAGTAAGCTTTATCATCTACAGTTAAACTGATTATAACGCCTTACAAAAATACAAAGATTTTGTTCCTAGGATCATTCAGTAACAACCATTGAATGTTGATCCTCTTGGTAAGTGAAAGCTTGAAATTTAAACTAGGCGTTGTCCGGTTGGATAATCCATGCAGCTAGGACTTCAAGTAGTGATTAAAGATATAATATGCAGTAGATGAATCTCTTATGATCAGTACCTTGGATCTTGATCAGAAATCCCCCTTTCCTATATTTTGATACTTATTCTTCCGTCCAGATTTTCTGTAAAAGAAATTAGAGAATATTTGCAGTTCCCTGAATGTTTGACTTTAATGCTTCAATCGGTATTCTGTCTAATCCTGCCATAGTCGTTTCAGAGTTGTCTGATAATCATGTTGGTGAGGTACATCCACAGGGGTATCTGTGCATACTGCTTCATTATCCTGGTGGTTTTGAGGGGCTGGTTTATTCAAAATTTCCTTAAAGTGCGCTATCCATATGTTCTGCTGCTCTTGAACCTCAGTAGCTGAATTGCATTATTCTGATGATCACTCTGGTTTATTATACTTTCCTGCTGGCTTTTTTGTTGCATTATTTAGTTCTCATATACTTCAATCCCTTTCAACTTCTTCTGCTCAGTCTTCTACATATTTTCACTTGTCAGCTATAATACTGTTCTCCATTCATTTGTTTGCTTTTGTATCTCCGGCTTGCGGTCTGACTTTCCCTACAAACATTGTTGAATCTTGCCTAGGGTATCGACAGAGATTCACCTTTTATGCTTGTATTTTTTATGACCTAGCAACTCCTGGTATGTTGAATGTATTTCTCCTTTAACCCCTTTCCAGTTGTTTCCGTTATGGTGTTCAATACTTCTAGTACATTTTGTAAGACTCGGAATCTTTTTTTGAGAGCTGAACTTTTTGACATCTCTAAAGTAGACTGTGCTAAACTTTCCTAGTGCTCTTTGTCACCATCCAGTATTTCTTTAACTTTAGTCTGTGTTTGGTCACCACTAGGTGGCTATCTGAAGTTACGTCTTCCATGAACCTTTTGAACATTTTAGTGATGTAGACTAGATAGATCTGGTTTTCTGTAACGTGGTCCAGCGTATATGTTTGCAGGGTCAAAAAGTTCCATCGATAACCAGGTCATTGAGAGTATATAGACTGACAAGTCCTTGACCGTTCTTGTTCCACTCAGTTGACGCAGCTCAACGATACCTTCATAACCAATGTTGTACTGAACTTGGTGTTTACAACATCTCTGTTTACACTTCATTTGGTTAAATCTTTCGACTAACTTATTTACCTGACAGTGTAACTCGAGCAGTAACAGTGTCTGTACATTTGTATCATTACTTTCATGTTGAATGGACTTGTATGATTCATCTCGTGTTACAGCCTACACATGTATGCTTCATACTTACTTAAATGTTAGTTGTTTTAAATAACTGAATGACTTCTTCGTGTTCCGATATATTTGTACATCTTAAATCCTATTCATTCCTTCTTCCGCATTCTCATATCTGTTCGTATATGCTTTGTGTGATTGGCTTTTTTCAATCTGTACTGTAAGATAATAATGTTGTCAACACTTCGCATGACACTCACTATGATCTATCACTTCTTTTACTGTGCATTGGTTGTTTCAGTCTTCCCACTGATTTTAAAGACTACGACTGTTTATTTTTTTCGCATCCTGTGTGTACCAACTCACTATTGTCAGCTGGATATATCTGCATTCCAGAATTGATAACAAAAGAGTCTGATCAATTGCAGTTCTAGACACCAATGGAAAGATTCAAAAGAATGAATACAAATTCACGAGCCAAAGATCTTCAGGACTGAGTGGCTTAGTAGATGACTTGATGTCGTCTGGAGCGAACAGTGTTGGGTCCTAGTCCCAGAGACAGGTATATCCAGTGAGTCCAAAATGGGTTTGAAAGCGCCTTTTAGATTCCCTTTACCTTCTTAATTTTGAAGAGTAGTTTGATGATCCTGGAATGATGAATTTCTAACCTATAGTCGTATTTGTGATTGTTCAAAAATTATCTGCGCAAGTCCTTCTGTATGTGGGACATTTTGTTCTTTATGTCCAGACCATAGTATCAACAATTTCACTTATCTTCGGCTTCTCTAGGTTGAATCTTTTCATTTTTATTTGAAAGATCCTTCAGGTCTCTTACATCCTCTGGACATTCCACGTACCTCTTATTTGTTGCTCAGATTGTCATAAGGGGCATCGTCCTTTTGGCTCCCAAGGGACCTTGCGTTTGACCACAAGAGATAATCCTTCTATATGAAAATCCGTTAACTCTTGGGGTTGAGTTGAAATAGACTTTTATCAAGTGGTGTTTTTGCAGCAGTGTTAGTTCGTACGAGGTGGGGATGTCAATCATTTGACCAACCCTCCTCTACTCTTTCTTGTGGCCGACAGAAACCCTAGATGACTTCAGGATGTTTTTCTAGTAGCAGAATGAAAGGGCCTAAAGAAATGAATATCACAAACAATATATTATCAAACTGAAGCATCATTTTAATTTCTATATTGAAAAGATAAGACATTTTCCAGAAGTTGAGTACCAGTTGATTTTTATAAAAATGAATAAGTGATATCCGTAAAACAAAGTAGCAAGTTCATTGTATAAACAATGCTGATTTGTTCGTTATCACAAAACTGTCGCAAACAGAACGCGAAGACTAAAGCAGAAGTAAAACAAAACAACAGTATATGATTGAATATTATTTTAGAATTTGAAAGAAGTCCCGGAAAGTGCATTTCCGCAGTATGAAAATAAAGTAACTGAGGTATGATATAGAGAAATGACCTAAGTGAAAGTTAACCGGTTCTTTAATGCCTGTCTTTGCAACAAATCACGTGGTTATTCGATCGATTTTAGTTTCTTTGTCATTCATATGGGATAGAAAGATTAACAGATGTATTTTCACTAGTTTTTTCTCAATACAAGAAGAGAAAAGCTGATAAGATTGATAATGTTAAAAGCACGAGCTTATTTTGTCAATAAACAGATATTCAGAGAATCTTGTTTAATTAGTTTCTGTTTCTGACTGGTATGAGACTCAACCAATTAAATGTATATGAGGATAATATGTGATTCTTGCAGATGAGTTTAAAATCCCACGGTGAATTTACTAAACCACACTAATGTTTATTTGTTTCCGCAATTTTCCAGTACTAATCTCCAATGGTAGATTCTAAAACCCAATAGGTGAATTCTAGTCCTCAAATTATGGCTAAATTGGTTCAGTTTTTCTATTGTTCCTCAGATGGTATCAATGCATGATGAAAAGTATTCACAAACAGTGGGAAGTTTATCACTAAACTGTTTCGACCAACAATTATCCATCTTAACCAGAGATAAATGGTGGCTAGCATTAGAATACAAGGCGTGCGTTTTTTCCTGTTTGAGACTTCTAAGCTAGATGGAATGAACATTAACTCTGGTATTTACAGGTATTTCCAGTTGACGAGTCCCAAGTGGGACGAAACGCACATCCTGGATTCCACTGCCAGCTACCATTCATCTTTGTTTTAAATGTTTGTGACTTAATGGCAATATTGAGATGATAGGTTTAGGATGCACATCTACCAAAAGAGACTGAACAGTTTCAGTCCTGAATATCAATGGGAAAATCCTAACAACGAATATTAAATAATTAATTAATTATTTTGTTAGGAGTCTGGGGAATCAAATTTCTGTTGTTTAGTAAATTATCAGCAGGTTAAGTAGCTAACTTTCGACTATTAGATAACCAGTTTCAAATCAATCTCCTTTACGTTTTTTTTCTCAAAATTTACATTTGGTTTTACTGAGTAGCATGTGTAAATCTAAGTTGAATACAAAAGTTGACATCAGATTGTGTAGTTAGTTGCAGTAAAATTCCTCTTTTTCTTTTTTAGTTCTGGGAATTCACGCTCTTCTCTAAGTCAATAATTATTATATTGAAACTGTTATGTATGGGAAGCAATTGACAATCGATTGAATAATTTATGATTAACTACCTTTCCTTTATGGTTGGTTCATTAGCACAAAGAAAATAAATTCACTTTCTTTTCAGAATTCTCATAACAAGTATTGTTTAATGTTCTAGTGTTGTGTTTACTAGACATTACGACCTATCTTTAAATCATCTGATCTAATTTATTTGTGATAAACTTAAAAATGTTTTTAAAAATCTGTATAGACATTTTTGTTTTAATGACATTATATTTGCGAATAGGTGAGAGAGAGAGAAAACAATTTGTATGCATAAGTAAGTTCATATTTATGTCATTCTTATTCGCTTAAACAAATCAATAATGTTAGATTTCAATGTAATTAAAATAAAGTAAAATGAAAGTCATTCGATAATTATACAACTAGAAATAAATAATAAACGACTATTCTTAGTTCATTCAAATATGTCGGTATATTTTACAGTCAGTCAAAATAGATCAAATTTATAAGTAACAATATCAACTTTAGGTATAATACATTTATCAAAATTCTATTTTTGAGGCTAAATTTACATTCTTTATTATTGAAAAACATAACCATTAGTCAGGCATCTAATCACAGTTAACTTTTATGGCTGAGATTTAGGGAGAAACTCTGCTAAAATTTGCTATGCAAAAATCAGTACTTAGTGATTACAGCACACTTAGTTTTATTAAAAGTTAGGTATCTGAGATCACTTATTGTTTTCCTTATCTGAGAATATTAACCGTCTCTAGTCGACAAATGAGTGACTTAGTTTATACATAAACTAAGATATGTATCTTCCAGTCGAAAATATAACGATTAGTGTATTTTGTCTTACTACGGGTTGTGTAAAAAGTTTATTGAGCCACACAATGTCAGGTCTTTCGGATTTGTAAATGAATTATTGGCTAATTATTAAGTTGTCAAATATTATTATGACGTCTAGAATATCTGATGGAGACGAGTACCATGAATGTGGAAGAAAATAATATTATTGTTCAATTAAACACGGTAGCTAGAACTATATGAGTTTTAAGAAATCGTCTAAATTAGAAGGTCAATTGATGATAATTACCTACAGGAATGTCGGCTCCTTTTGCGACATGATAAAAATGTTAAGACAATTTCATCTATTTCTTTGAATCGTAGAAGCAATTAAAATCTAGAGATCTGACATAAAATGCCTTAAGTTTGCAATCCAGTGAGGAAAATGTATGTTGTTTTCGACTGATTATAGACGGTAAACTTTTATTAACCATTATTTTGAGGTATCTTTCTCTAACTACTGCCTTCTTTAAGCACTGTATATTATTCAGTTATAAGATGTTGACAAATATTAATGCGTTATTCAGTGAAATTTTGTTTAGTGTCAACCAATTAAATAATCGCCTAAACATTTAGTTTTTTAAATTTACACTGAGATTAAATATATTTCAAAATAACATTCTCAAAGAAAGTGTGAAAATATTGAGGAAAAGTAACTTTTTATAATGATAGATTAAAATTTAGTGTTTATAGCCATAGTTATGTGCTCTGACTAAAGATTAACATCCTTCAATGTTCCTATTTTTTGTGTTGTTAATATTTAGGACTGGGATGAATCAATTTTTACTAGATAGTACTTAATACATAACATAACATAAAGCGAGAAGATAGTGGATTCGAAACTCTTTATGGACAACAGCACTGGGATGCAGGTACGAAATATGCGTCCTTAATTCCATTACAAAGAGCTAAACAGGTTTGTTAATACATCATAATATTATTATAATTCAATCTTTTTGTCATGTTCGGTTCACTGAGCTAGATACTTTAATTATGGAGATTTCATTGTCATTCTGTACAACATCTTCTCCTCCCGGTTCATATACAATTGAGTTTCTAAAGTTATTCCACATGTGTTATATTGATTCATTCCGGTAAAATATTTTGTGATTGGTGATCTTACCAGATTTAGTCATCCTCATTTACTTTCGGAAAAATTATGCTCTTACAGGCAGGATTTACTCAATAAGTGAACAGAAAACCTCCTGAAAATTCTTGATACCGTGAACAAATTGAACACTGGGAAACAGATGCTCTATAAATGTATTATCTCAGTCTCGAAAATCCACTGTAAATAATTCAGATCTAATGAACAGGAAATTCAAGCACTTAACTCATTCACTAAACATCAATCACGTTTAATTATTGGCAAGTTTTGTATACATTCAAACTGATTTCACAATACATTATGAGTATTCATTGATGTGTCTCACACAGATGATAAAACAAGACATTCAACTATCTTAGACTAAATAGGAGAAGAGGAAACACAACACATGAAAAACAATTCAGTCACATGTAATATCGTATGTTGACGAGTCGGAATGTGTAACAGTGTTAACCATGTCATCACTGAACTGACCTTGTTGTTGTTGTTGTTGTTGACTCAGTCTACACTCTGTGTTCGTATGGTGCAATTCAATGATCGTCGATGCCATGCATGTGAATTGTGTTAGACATTAGTGGAACAGGTGTAAATATGTGGTTGTTGTTGTGAATAACGTAAGATGATCATTGATTAGATACATTAAACGAGATGATTTTATTTCTACAGGTTTCAATGAGCCCTTTATTTTACCGTCAAGATGGTAACATTTAGGTTTTAAAAGTTGGTATTTTTGGTTACTGAAGAATAGAACAGAATGGAATCTGAAGAATATCAATGAATTATATTGAATGCACTTTTACTAATGTATATCACGAACAAAGAACGGATTTCAATTACGCTGGTTCATTTGAGTTGTTTGTACAATTTCTTTAGTAGTAAATTTAGTCGCGAACTGATATCGAAAAACGGTTCACTGAAAATATGAGATCATTGAACGTTTATTTCGTCAAAGCTTCAGATCTATGATATACAACTGCAAGCAACTGGTTAGTATGTCTGAATCTAACAGCTCTTGTCGATAGATTTTTAACTAGTCTTAAAATATTTTTTGCTTTATTATTTGACGGTGCTTGTTTGACTAACTTTATGAAGTAGTTTAATCATATCTAAATATTTAATCGATGTAAGTACTTACTTTCAATTGTCTAATTTGTTTCGCTTGTTTCCTAATAGTTTCTTCTAAATCATTTTGATATTGTTGCATAGCTAGTTGGTCTTTTGTCATATGATATGGTGACATACTATTCTGTAATAAGAAAAAAAAATTTACAAATTTTATCATTTTGAATACAAGTCATGCTTTTCAAGTAACAAATAAATGTCACACTTGATAATTTATGTACAAAGATCAGCCTATATTGTCGTACTAATCGATGTCTAGACTGGAATTTCTGTTAAGGACTGTTGGTTGGAGAAAGTTACTTTTTTCGAGTTTTTATACAATCGAATGATGAGAATCTGCTTTTTAAAACGAAATTATTTAAGTAGGTAGATGACCTTTAAAATTTTAGGGGACTAACGTAGTTTAAATAGAAATAATGGTTGTTCAATCAATACACAACAATTAATGTTGGTATGCTGCCAATGTAAGAGGTTTGCATAATGAATAAAACTGTCAGCATATAAGGGCTGATTTCTACTGTTACCGAAACAACATTGTGTATTATAGCCGTTACTGTTCACTGTTTCAGCGTACCAATGGACTGCGCTTTACAGGTCTATATGTATATACTTCAAACGAGAGCTGAAAAGTTAATGCCTGTCAACAGAATCTATGGACTTGTATGTTTCTTTAAATTATTTCTGAACATATAAGCATTTGGTTCATTTTCGTCGTAACAGATATAAAATTATAATGTTAGCTTAGTGTAATGCTAAGAAATACGACTTAATGCATGGATTCAGATTCTTGTTTGTAAGAAGCAGTTTTTAAGTTGAAATGACGTACATTTCATTGATCGTACTGTGTGATGATCATGATGGCATTAGAAAAGCATTCCGGTGAATATCAGCTCACTAGTCTGGCGATATAATATTCCATTCGAGACCTAAATACTTTTGATGTTATCTTCTTTAGAAATGTGTACGTACACTGTCAAACAATTTATAAGTCGAATGATGCAAACGTCTAACTGTTGATAACTTTTATGTATCCGTATGACTGAAATGAAATTAATTAGCTCTTAAGCTAATAACACTTTATGACTTGTAAATTAAGAATTACGTTTAATGGACAGACAGACTGATACAACGCAGAACTTCGTACGTAATTACATCAGTTCAGGTTGCCATACCACATCACCACAGAGACGCAACTGTCAGTTCAAATCCAAGAGTGATAGCAATAATAGAAGTATTAGCAGTAATGGAGAAGATTAGGGAGCGAAGATAGGATTCGAGAATTATAATTCAGTAAGATAAATTTGGAAGGAGAAAGGTAGATATTATGAGGCATGCATAAGCTTAGAATTTCATAGAGCACAAAGAGTGCATGCACCTGCGCCACTGCAAACGATTCTGAGCCATGTGATTCAAGGTCTCTAACCATCGGTGACTATCGTTTCGCGGACCCCAACCAAGTAGCCTACATCTACCAACATGACTCTGTCCACTTGTTAATGACTTCATGCATTTGTGCCATGTTTTGGTTTGGCCGCCTTTAGCTTTCTTCCAACCTACTACACCACAAAACACTGATCGTCGAGGCAGTCGGTGGTTAGGTATACGTAACACATGTCCCAACCACCTCAACTGATGAAGTTTCACTACTTCATCTATTGATTTGCCATCCCTACCTAGAACTCGTTTCCTAACGACAGCATTGTTTATACGGTTGTCCCATGATACATGAGCAATGCTTCGGAGACACCTATGATCGAAGACTAATAACCTAAGGAAGTCCTCTACTCTTAACGGCCAAGTCTCGCATCCGTATAGTAGGACGGAGCGAACTGCTGCACAGTAAACTCGTCCTTTGGTGCGCCAGCGTTTAATGAGCTTAACAGGAACAATCCAAATCATCTCAGTTTGAATTAAATCTCTTTCTCGTTACACAAGTAAGTGGCTATCCGGACTCATTAGCTGAGTGGATAACGCAATGGTGTTTGAAACAATCGCCAATGGGTTCAAGTCCCAGAGTAAAAATTAATTCTGAAATTGCTGTTATAGCCAGCTGACTAGTCTGAAATGGGAAGAAACGCATGAACTGAATTCTACTGCTATTCTAAATAAATGCTTTCTATAGTTTCAAAATTATTAACCAGGTATTCTAGATGAAAGATTTTAAAAAATGCTAAGCACAAAATATTGTTTTCTTTCTTCTCAAACAATGTTTCATGTCTACGGCTTTTACATGCAAACTTGTTAGTGGTAACTTTGATTCTGATCAAAATTTTACTTCACTGATGATTCAGTTATATAAAAAATAACAACAGTTTTATGCAATTTCTTAATTTAATCAGTGTTACATTTTGCTGACTACAATAATGGAATCGAATTAACCTTACATTTATACAAGTCCATCGATCTTTTCCGTCTCAAGTAATTTCAGCATTACTTCATTGTAAAACCATGAATCGACCAAATGGTAACTAAGAGTTTATAATTAATTAAGTTAACTTTTTCCTGGGTTTTGAGATTTCTTTGTTTCTCGTACTTCGTAATAAAAGGCGAACATATATTCACCATTCAGTAAATACTCCATTAGGTATTACATTCAGTTAAAACAAACGTATTTTCTTGGATTAAAATTAAAATAAATAGGAAGTGAGTTTAGCAAATCGTTCATTTATATGAAATCCTAATCACAGTGACTTATTATTAAAAGCACGCTAGCCAAAACTAAACTTTTCGGTATTCAGCATTTGAATTTCTTGACAGTTGTCAACTCGTGATTCTTTAGAAATTTGCATCGTTGTTGTGTACTAAGGTAATTTAGTCTTTGTCACTTCAGTATCCAAACTGTAACTCTTTGAAGTTAAAATGAGTTATCTATTTAATGTTTCTTTCAATCCAATAAGCAACTAACGTTTCTGATTCCTGTCCAGTATCAACACCTTTCGTGTATATTTTTACATGCTTTTCTCCTCTCATTTAAACTGATTACATGGTTTTCTACTCGTTTTTATTTGACAGTAGCGTAGTTAAGATACTATAATGCATTTACCTACACATAACACTCATTTAACATAAACTAGTTACATCCCACCAAACATCGATTCTTTTTTAGGCTTCAGTACATTTAAAGCAACTTGTAAAAAACATAAAAAAAATTTTAATCTCTGATTTGTTATTTTTATTCCAACACTTTAATTTTTAAAATTTAAATTCCCCATACATTCAACACTAAAAATACATCTTTAGAAAAACAATGTGAATACACAATAAATGATGGTATGAATAAAACATAATTTAAAAAATCGATATTAAAAATCAATATGGGTACTTCTGTCTGAACAAATAATAATTCTTCACATGTAATACCATCAAATAGTGCATATTCACTATCTTGTGTGAAATTGAACTTAAGATCATTAAGTTTCATGTAGACTAGATTTCCTTCAAGTTAATGATCGTAATAAAACAACTTGTTTATGATTACTGGTTCTTGTTGACTATGAGTTTTATCAATGACATACGCTAGGGACAAGCTGTTTATTCGTCCCAGTATTAAAATGAATTTTAAAATGATATCAAAGCTGTCTTATACCCATTTGTTAATGAAATAACATTGAAATTAAGTTGGAAATATTATCACTGAATTGTGGGTCTAATAGTTTATCAGTTGATTGTAAATGATGCTACCTTTTAAATTTATTGACTTTTTCTATAAATTTCAATGTTTTCAAACAATCACTTATTCCTTGATCTACATGGTATCTCAGAAATGTTTAATTTAAATAGACAATTTACGAGAGTCAGGTTTTATAAATTACCTTTTCCGGATACATCATATACACTGGATTCATTGAAGATTCACGATGTTGATGATTTGGATCAGGCGATGAATGTTCGTTGTTATTTTGTTTACGATCAATGGTGTTGTTATCATGATTACTTTTATCGTTTTCATAAGTCCCATTATTTCTACTAACATTATTTGTACTAATATTATTACTGTTGTTTTTGTTAATACTGTTGGCAGTTAATTTCTTTAAAACACTTTTATAATTCTCTGACAATTGATTATTCTCTTCCTGTAGATTTTTAATTGTTGCCTCTTTTGATTGGATTTTCTGTTGTAATTCTTCATTTTCACTGAAAAGTTTTTGATTTTGTCTTGATATATTATCATATGTTGTCTACAATTTATTTCAGTAATATATTGATAAAAATTTAAGATAAATATGTTGAAAAGTATAAAATTATAAGAACCTAGTATAACCTAATACAGATGTTTCGCTTCTTCCTTCTGAAAGTGAATATTCACTAAGTAAACTATGTTAGGAACCTAGATGACAATTCGGAAGGATGATAATGGGCTATGAAATAAGCATAGAAGAATACCAATGGTTCACAAAACTAGAAGTGATAAGTAAAGCTACCATAAAAGAGATTCGGTTAAATGATCATAATATTAGGTTCAAACAACGTCGGTTCAGACGAGGAATAACTCGAAGGTTCACTAGAACGGACGAAACGGCTTAATGCATGATTTCGTGTGTATAAATAAAGTTTATTCTAAGTTTTTCTTATGACTCACTACTTCAATATACAAGACACGTAATTGGCTTTCAATAAATTGTTCAGAAACTACTTCGGTTACCTTAATTTAATTTTCCCTATTAATCAGGTTAGAAAGATCAATTGCAAGAATGAGTTTATTTGAAAGATAAGAAGAATTCGGGCTATGAAATTTAAATAATCTGATTGAACGTTTTTCAGTGTTAAACGACTTTATATAATCATTCAGAAATGTAGTATTTTTCACGTCGCTTTCATCTTTTAATCATACCGACGCAATTTACTGCAATGACTATGTGTTTTTAAAATATGAAAGATTGACATTATTTACAGGCTCAGTAAGTTATATTGTCATAAATGAAGGAGAATGTTTGTGAACATACGCTGATTGATCCTTTTAATTTGGTTAAATAATTTTATGGGACCAGCTGGACATAAATACAGTGACTATCTCACAGTTAATAACTTCGATTTTAGAATTTTTACAGCTTTGGTTGAAAAACTAATGGACAGCATGATTTCTCCAAGGATATTATACATGAATCTGATGAGTTAAGTTAACATATTACAAGCTACTACACTTTTGGACATAGTGTTACGCACAGGCCACTTATAGCCACAGTCACAGAATTTATCTTCACCCTAGATCTGGGATTATATTCAGTTGAACTAAGAGGATAGTCATTTTGCTGCTATCTTTGTTTCGGTTTCTTTATTTCTGTTTCTACATTGTCTTGAGTGCATTTGAATCTGATCGTATACAGAGATCTGAAGCCCAGTTTATGTATTCATTTTTAATATCCTTTATTCTCTAGACTTGTAAAGTAGATCAAAAAGCGATAAATGATTTTGTATTTTTTTATTATAATAGGTAATCAAAAGATCATGCTTTCTTAGTCATGATCTTCATTCGGTTGTGTAGAAGCTGATTGGTCGGTTTTGTTAAAACATTACAGTATAACATGAAACAAAGGTAGGAACATGATATTTCTTGTAAGGTGTACGTTCATTATTTGCTGTACACTTTAATAGAAGGTCCTTAAGTTTGTTCAGCAGAAGTGATATACACAGTTTTAATTCTATCACTATTGTTAAGACTCAGAATATTTAACATTAGTAAAAGTGATTTGAGTTTAGAAGCCGATCAGTCAAACAATTGTGTATAACATATGGATTCATAGTTTGACTCAAGCACTCAACTGTTATGAACAGTGAGTTGACATTTAATAATAGGGATTCCTCACTTCAGTTAGCTCACGACATGAATCCATCACATACGCCACATATTGATTAGAATACTCAGTATTAAACATCTTCATCTAAGCTATACACTCATTCATTGATCTTTTTTCTCTTTTCGCTTACCTGTAAATTAGATAAGTTTGTTTGTTGTATTTCCAGAGTTTTTTCAAGTTTTTCATTTTTCTCCTTTTCTTGACTTATGATAAATTGTGTATGACGTTGTATACCGGCAAATTTAATGACGATTATCTATTTCACCAATGAGGCAATGAAGAGACAAATATACGTTGAAAGTATTTGAGTTACTTAATCGATTAAATTTTATAACTATTACCTAACCGTATAAAAATTAATATTGCATCAGACTGACATAAACGTAAGTAGCCTATTTAATTAATTTTGACAGACTGTTATCAGTTGAAGAATATATTCGAATTATTAATCGAGGCATGAGGAGTAGTGTTAACACAGCTGTTGTTACCAATCTACTGAGTGTTACAGAGGATGCATGTGATGAAAATGTGATTTTTATCACTTGTTCTTTTTGTCCACATCATTTCACGTTAAACAACCAGATCTTTTACCCCTGTTCCACTAAAATGTCTAACACAATTCACATGTTCGTTATCAAACAATTAACTGAAAACCATACATGGCATCGACGAACATTGAATTGCACCAAATGAACACAGAGTGTAGACTGAGTCAACAACAACAACAACATGGTCAGTTCAATGATAACACGGCTAATACTGTTACACATTCCGACTCGTCAAAATACGATATTACATGTGACTGAATTGTTTTTCATGTGTTGTGTTTCCTCTTCTCCTATTTATTCTAAGATAGTTGAATGTCTAGTTATATCAAGTGTATGCGACACATCAGTCGATACTCACAATGTATTGTCATGAATTATTTTCATGTATAAATATGTCAATTATTAGCCTTATAAAATGGTGATGAAACCATGAAATCGATATCCTGTAAATTGAACTGCGTTTAAATATCGTGAATACAATTTCTAATTAGGCTATAAAAAATCTTTGCTTGCGTCATTTGCTTGATAGGTCATGATGTAACATTACTTCGTGATATGCTGCCAGAAATCACGATTTGTTTTGTCATCTATTAAGTAGTGTTAATTTATAGTTGATTGTAATTCAGTTTTGATTCTAGTCTGGATTTTGTTGTTACTTTAGTAAGAGAAAGTCATGGTTATCTTGGTTTAGGGAAGGTCAATTACCAAAGGTCACACATCTAGAAACCTCTGATCATCTATTTAGGTTGAGTTTGAAACAACGTATTAATCCATATTCACATATGGATCAATTCAAGTCTATCAGGCTTTTTAGTGCATGTAAGAGACCTCTTAGTCGTAATGTTATGGTTGATATTTCCAATTTTAGGTTATTAGCAAAATAGGATTAATTAAAAGAATCGTTGGTTTTATTTCAAACTTTCCAGCATGGAATTTTCCTTTCCTAGAATAGTATTTGTGAATTTCAGATCAGGATAAAGATTTCCTGACTGTAATCACATTATCTATGAACATATATTATTATTTAAAAAATATATGAATTAAGAAATTGAGGTTAAAAAGTATTTTGACATTAGATTAGGAAACAGATTTATTTTGTCCTTTTTAAAAAAATCTGATTCCGTATCTTTCATAGGTCACCAATTGTAGACACAATATATTGAGCCATATACAGTCAACAATCAGAAAAGATTATCTATTCTGGAGATGGTGTGACGTTTTCATCAGTTTTCTTATTGTAATAAACTGGTCTTAATAAACTATTTACTAGACACTTTATTATCTAAAACTAGTACCAGACGAAATAGCATTATCTTTTCCAATCTGTTAACTACAAACATCAGTAAATCTCTTGTTTCGTGCACTGTTATCGTATTAGTTTAAACTGTGAACCACTGAAACGTTACAAAACTAGTCAGTTTACTATTTAAGTAAAACCCGACCTAAATGTTTGACTATTTTGTAATGAGCATTTTTTTCGACCATTAAAATGAATCAGTAGCAACTAAATCAGCAAAACATTTCCAATCTGTTTTTGAAAGACACAAAAAAGGGGAGTGAATGTGAGGGAAGGAAAAACGATATACAAAATGCGTTTGAAAAATGATAAAATTTTGTAGTGTAGACGTATTTGCATTAAAATATTGATTGTTGCCATAGTAACTTGGGTCTGCTAATGAATGCTAGTTAATTGGTTTCGATTCTTCTTATTATAGAAGAAAGTGGGAAATTTTTATTGACGGATCCTGTATGCTTTTCTCATTCATGTTTACCGATATCTTATTCTAGCCTATTAGTGTCTTACAATATATGGAAATATTAGCTAGACATTTAAAAATCAATCATTCAATTAAAAATTATTTTAACAATTTCATCGGACTGATAATTATGATTATATTAGGTATTACAAGAAAAAAATTATTGAAATTAATAGTAGTGCAGTATTTCTGTTGTATTCGATATGATTTACAGTTTTACTCAAATGACAGATTACGTGTGAGTTGATGTGGCTAGAAAAAGTTAAAAAGTTTTGAGTTCCAATGTTGATGATTCCCATACCAGGATGAAACGGCAGTCCAGGGCTTCCAGGTTTCTAATGGTGGTCTAACATTGATTGATTCATGATTCCAATGGTATTTGTCAAAAATTAGTAAATTATACCTAGATAACATTCAATGATTGTGTTTTGATAGAATAATATTTAGAATAAGTGTGTGTGTATGTGTGTGTAGTGAAACACACTTGGAGTTGTTCTAGGATTATCACCACTCCAAAACTCGACCAAAAAAAGAGGGTTGGTCATAGGTTAGCTACCCCATCACATGGAAGAGCAACTGGCAAAAATAGCTGACCAGAGAATATGAATCAAACCATTTAAACTCTTTCCTGGAAGTTAAAGGGTCTTCATTTAGAAGAGTTATGATGCCTCATGATGAAAGCCGAGTTTCTTCGGAAGCCATGAGGCCGATGAGCTTTCTAACAACCACCGCAAAAATTAATGTAGGTAAATGGAATGTTCATACATTGAGTCTTTCAAGCTGCTGCGAAAATGAAAAGATAAAACCAAGTGGTGCTTGGAACCAGTGAATCACAAAGTAATCATCGACAGTGGGGGACACTGAAACAGGAGTGTAGAGCGTTTCGAAGAACTTTAGAATCTACTGACCCCAATAAACTCACCCGAAATTGGAGCATCATCCACGGACCTTCGAATCAGTGTTGACCCACCAACAACTGGAAAAATCAGCATGGCAATCAGACAAATCAAGAGAGGCAAAGCGGCACTACCAGACAACATTCCAGCACAGGCAATGAAAACAGACGTGGCAGCAACTGCAAAGATACTCCACATTCTCTTCAGTAAGATTTGGGATGAATAAGAAGTTCAACAGAGTTGAAAGAAAGACACGTGATCAAGATACCAACGAAAAGCAATCTCATCAAGTGTGTGAACTACAGGGGTACCACTCTTGTCTGCGTAACAGGAAAATTCATCAAGAAGATGTAATTAAACAGACTGAAGGACTCTATAAACGCCCAACTTCGAGGTCAATAGTCTGGATTGTGTAAGGATAGATCGTGAACCGACCAAATTGTAACTCTGTGGATCGTTCTGGAACAATCAACTGAGTAGAATTGATCACTATATATCAAGTTCACTGACTATGAATAAGCATTTAACAGAGTTAATGGGATGACATTATGGAGGCTTCCTTGACACTACAGTGTGCCTGAAAGATAGTCAACATCACGTGGAACTCCTTCGATAGACTAAACTCCAAAAGAGGAGATAGACCAAAGAACACATTACGCCTGATATCGGGGACAGACATAAAAAGAGAAAATAGCGACTGAGTAGAAATGGAAAGGAAGGCTCAGAACAGATTTCATTGGAGTATGTTGGTCAGCGGCCTATGTTCCATTTGGGGTAACAGGCGTAAGTAATTAGGTAATGCGTGTAGTGGTTTCCTTGTCGTTTCCTTTGTATCCAAGTAGCGAGGCTGAAAAGCTTTCACGTTACTACTTATAGTCACACTGGAAAAACCGTATGAGAAAGAGATATGCGTTATAGTTCAGTTAAACAAACTCCATACACTGAATTTATGTGTATTCCAGAAATTTATCTTTTTCAATCAATTTTTCCCACTTCAATTTAAGTGCTTTTCTTTTAATGAAACTGCTACCTTGACGGTGTGGTCGGGCTTGCCTATCGTGATGACCCAACCGAGCTATATTGGCTGGAACGTACGTTCCTTTAGATTCTGCCGGCCGAGAAGGTTGATTGGAGCACGGTGAGACTAAAAGCAGCAACTCAAGGTCTGAGGGAGAAACCGTACTGTTGACTGCAGAAGGGTTTGACTGCGGTAAGGCATTTTAAACAAGAGCGCAGCTAACACTTGAAAAAGTTATTATAAAAAGGCTGCGCGTAACCGGCCTCAAGCAGTTGTCCCTAGGACTCTGAGGTCACACTCCCAGGTCTCTAAGACCAACACATCTACCTTCCTTTTCAGGTTCCTCAAAAAACACTTCCCAGGTGTCGGCAGCCAGAAAGTGACATCCTTCCTCATACCTGTAACAGCACACCAGACCAAATTATTCGTAATCAAGTCCTTCCTACACCCCCTAACACCTCCTATCTCCACGTCTTACCTTTCTCACATTCCTTTATCACGCAGCATCGCTGATACAAACTATTCGAGTGCACGAAATGTAAGTCCTGGTCTCCTGAAACTTCGTTCTGATCTATATACTGCAGCTTCTAATGTTCGGACATTGTGTCAAATAAGACAACAAGCTTCCTTGGCTCGGAATTTAGAATCTCGCGCCATTGATGTATGCTGCATCTCGGAAACGCGTATACAGGATCCTATTGATATCATTAATTTGATTTCACCTTGTCCAAACAGAGAACCAATTCGATTTACGCTTCGGGTATCTGGAAACCCTGCAGCTGCTTCCAGTAGCTTCGCTAGTATAGGTATAGCATTGAGAAGTAGGGCAGAATTAGCTCACCTAGACTGAACCCCACTAGATAGTCGATTGTGCGCTGTACGACCGAACGGGACAGTAAGGACTAGTAAGATTGGGACACTCGTCATTGCCTCTTCGTGTTATCTGCCTACGTTCCCACTGACTGCAATTCAGACGACATAAAAGATAAGTTTTACAGAAACCTCTATAAACTTCTCCAAAAAGTTAGGCGCTTTGATATAATAATAATGGTTGGTAACTTTAATGTTCAAGTAGGTAGACTAAGTGAAAAGGAAAGACACCTGGGAGGATCTTATGGTGTCGCGGCTAATAGAACAGATAATGGCGACCGTCTGCCGAAACTATGCTCAGATAACCGCCTATTCCTAGCAGATATTAACTTTAGGCATAAGGAAAAACACATTTTGACCTGGCGACCTCCAAAGTCTTCACAACGATGACCCAACTAGACCACTTTGCTATAAGCCATCAGTGGAGAGGCTCTATCGAAGACTGCCGTTCATTCTGGAGGATTGTTTATACTCAGACCATGCTCTATTGTGAGCGCGTATCTGTTTGCGTCTTATTGGACGTCGGAAAAATATCGCAAGGAAAACTGTTAGGGCTCTACTTAATGATAATAAATTTAAGAATATGTTTCAGGAGCAACTAGAAAAACAGTTAGACGACCATGCTAGTGATTCCCATCCTGAGGCAACTTGGAATGATATCAAAAAGGCTGTGGATACCGCAGTGATATCTTCTAGTAACGTTAGGGAGAAACAGTGGATCTCAATAGCATCTACTGAACTGATAGATGTTCGGAAAATCATCTCACCTGCCTCTGAACATTCCTTCTCAACCCAGGAGATTTGATTGATGGGCAGAACTCTTTAGGGATCAGCTCGATTGACCTTAAGTCACACTTCGGTTGCCTATGATCTCTAGTCATCCTGAATGGCAAATCGATGTAAGTCCACCACGTCATTATGAACGTAAAAAACCCCTAGGAAATGTAGATCGAGGGAGAGCAGCGGGTTCTGATAGATTGACCCCTGAGATTTTTAAAGATGGCGGTTCAGTTTCAGCAGTCAGATTGACAGAGATCTTAGGTAGAATTTGAGAAATGGGCGTAATCCCATCTAACTAGTCCTAATCCTTAAGTGGACCAATTTATAAGGAAGGACAAAAGTCTTCTTATGACAACCACAGAGGAATCAGTTTAACTAATATATGTTAGCCTCGATAATACTTGAACACTAACTAGAGCTCATGAAGAGCAGACTGGTGGACGCGGATGTATAGACCAGATATTCATTCTTCGTCAGGTCGTGGAACATGGACACGCATTTCGATGTCGCACTGTAGTTGTATTCCTGGACCTTTAGGCGGTATTTCACTCCGTGGATCGTGAGGTTCTGTGGCAGTGTCTGTCATTAAAAGTGTACCAAAGAAGTACATTAACCTTATACAAGCTCTCTACTCGAACAATACAGGTCGAGTTAGAGCTTATTGTGAACTATCATCAGAACTGATTACTTTAAGCGGTATCCACTTTCTACATTCTTGTTGAATTTTATCATAGACATTCTTTTAGATATAATTTCATCTTCGTCTGACCTTTCAGGGGTAGACCCTCGACCAGGAAACTCACTTGTTGTTTTAGAATATGCCGATGACATTGTTCGATTCGGTGAAGACGCTGACAAAATGCAGAGTCTGACTGACACATTATAAAGCGAGATTCTGTTGGATTAATTATTCACTGTCGAGAATAACTGGAATAATTTTTAAAATTACTTTTTTATTGGAACACAACTTTTGTTGAGATTATTAAATGCTCATAGTTTGCATTACTGACTGATCTTTGTTCGAAAACCGTTTTTCCTAAATGGTCTTGTCGTGATAAATCAAGTATTGAATTGTACACTTTTCTTAATATATTACCGTTGGGCACTGATCTTGAATTATAGCTATTTGACTGGCCCTTATCATATCAAATTCAAGTCAAACTGCTAGGGAATATATGCAAAATACGCCGGAAACATTCATCACTTCAGAGTGTTTTAATATATACCATAAATATAATGAAAATTATGAACTATTCAAGTCGTTTTAGTGTACATTTTAACAATAATCTAATCATTTCACTAACAATGGATGATCCTTGTAATTCTTTTCAATTTTTAATGTTAACAACATTTCCTATAAGATACCATGATTTATAAAAACAAAACTATGGTCAATGTCAATGAGATATCACTACTACTTTGAAATGATTTAAGATTTTGATGCATCGTATTTTATACAGGATCTTTGAAAATATTTACAGAAATCAGTAGGTCTAAATTTTATAATTGTTTATGTAAATTCAGGAATGATTCTTCATTGTGGCATTTGGAACATCAGCACAGTTAAAATAATGACTTCGTCTTCAAATTTAATAATGAACTATAACGTTTAATTGAGTTGTGATAGTAGTATGCCCTACTACCGAAAATAGCGAGTAAACAGTAGATGAATATGTATTCAGTTAAACAAGGTGTTTTTATTTACCTGGAAAATCTAGTAAGTTTATATATACATTTAATTTTAATAACTTCAAGTAACCATTTCATCTTGTTTATACTGAATTGAAGAATAAATCGGAATCATACACGGATTACTTAATTGATGTTTAACTAGTACATGGAAAATATGCGATAATTTTTCATCTAATTTTTAGTGTTAAACCAATACTTAATTACGTATAAAAAGAGATTATCTAACGAAATAATACGTTGATTGCATAAAATTCAATCACTTACTTGTAGTAGTTGACTATAGTCTTTGAGAATTTGAATTGAATCTTTCAGACGCTTGATTAATTGAATTATAATCATAGACAAAAAAGAATGATGATAGTAGGATGTTTTTTTATTAATTATGCGTTTATTTCTGGGAAAAATATCTTTTTTTTAAAAAAATATTTGAAACTCACTGTAAAGTATAAGTCGAAGAAAAACTACGCAAATTCTTCTTAGTTAAAGTTAGCTTGTTTGAACCACAAACATCATAAGGTATTTACTAATATCGGAACTGAACTGAATCAACATAAGTAGGCGTAAAGTTGGTTAATTTACCAAACAGACTAGCGATGACTTGTTAAGTCAAACATCATACCATTCGAGTTACTCGGATTCTCTGTAATCATTCACAAAGTTAGTCAAGTTTTTAATACACTCTGTCTTCGCCGAATAACTAGTCAGGTCGAAAAACATTAAGTTTGTATGTTAAAATAGACCACTCTACCAGTTAATAATCATGATGAAAGATAATAAAAGAAAATCTGATTCGTAATTTGTTGCAAGCTAGGGGTTCTCTACTCTTGAGTTTACTATCCTTTCTATTCCGTTCAAAAATCCTCATTATATGAATTATTTTGAGAGCCTGAAGCGTTAGGTTACAAGCTAAACATATCTAATAACAAACATGTTCAAATAATTACTTTCTACCATCAGATTAGTTAGATATTTGGAGAAATACAACATGTCATTGTTTACAGGAATTATGTCTTACCACAAATTTAGTGATTAAAAGTTTAGAGTTAACTTCTACCGTTTAAAAACTGACACACATAAGATTATACATAAATATAATTTATTCTGGATTATAAAATTAGGTCAGCAAAAAAAAATAGATGCTTTCAAAGAACATATCTGAACATTATCCCGGTCATACGACCTTCATAGTTATCTATACGCTAGTGCGATTTAGTTTGAAGGAAGCATAAATTGCCAAATCAGATACTATGGAGGCGTTAGCAGCTCATGGTTTTAAACCTGAGCTTTGTGTGCAAAGGTGACATGTGGAAATCATCATTCTACCATGGCACTAATACCTGATTTTTACATACAATGAGTTGGTTGTTAATAAACTGCATTGTTATTCAACATTTTCTACAATCACATCCATTCATTCTTTGCTTTCCTCAAACTCAAGGAAACGGATAATTATCTTTCATGCATTTGGCTTTATGACATTATTTTCCTTCGAATTCGCAGTTGTTACGCAATTTCCTTTTGACACTTAGAATCATGTAATCTTCTTCCTACTTTCTAACAGACTACTCTACTTGTTAATTAACTATTAATATTATTATAAAACTTAATTAAATGATATCTTTAGAAGGATAATTTCTTTTGTCGAACTGTCTGTAATTCATCTTCAATGATGACATAGGTTACTTTCATGGTTAAATGAACAGAAATTGAAAATTCTTGGCTCACTTTAAAATGGTTACCGTTTTCTGCTTGACTTTTCACCTGATCTACTTTCTTCTTTATTTTCTCATTAAAAGAGAAAATATGATTAAACTGTTCCTGCAAAAACAAGATTATGTTTCAAAATAGTGTAAAATTCTGTTGAAATATTAAAAAAAGTGTTATTTATGTAAAGTTCACAGGAGTAATTTTTATTATGGAAGGTTTTCACTGGGGGAAACGTCGACAATTACAGATTACCAGCCAATCTGTTATCCATTTTTTATTCGGGGCTCTGGGTGACATAGGATTCAATCCTTTAGGGAGCATCAGTTCCATCAAGATTACAAGTATGCCTTGATGACGTGTGTCAGATACCAAGTAACAAAGGTGCAGGGTTTCCTATCGACTACATCCGACAACTGCATTTGAAACTCTTTAGTAGTGTACGTGTTTTTGTATGCTCAAGCTCACACAGAAGTAAATCGAAACCTTTGTGGTTACCCTAAGAACATAACAATTACAAACCATAGATTCGAAATACATTGAATAGAGAAATCCATCCAAAAACAAATCGTCAGTGTAAGCAAGACTATTATCAATCCATTTATTTTTCCGAGGAGAAAAATAGCAGTAAGCTTAAGATTTATTATAAGGAAATGGTTATCAGCAATAACTACTGACAAACAAGGTATTTATTTTTTAAACGAATATTTTAAATAATGAATCATCAATGAAAAAACATAATGATCGAACACTATTACTGAAGTTTGAACTGCAAACCGCTGAGTTAATTGAGTTCTCTGGAGGCTTTATGCGCGACATAAGTCCTAAATATCTTAGATGCGGTTCCTGGCGGGGTTCTGGTTACTGATTGTTGATTAGTCAAGTAATAGGATGGAAATGCTATCCAGTACTCGTTGATTTCTGACATATGTTTAGCTAAATTTATTCTGTGATGTCAAGCGAAAATACTAAAGTGATGATTTAAAGATGATAAAAGTCACTATAATGAAAAAAAAACACTTTATCAGTATATTTAGTCAACTTTCAAATTTACTTACCCTGCCCATTTCACATTGTTTAATTTCTGCTTCCATCTAAAAATAAAAACCAATTAAAAGGCAGTCTTGTTATTAACTGAATGATATTCTATCATATATATATAGAGAAATAAGGCAGAATATTTGTATCGCTCATGATTGCATTTGTTATTGTCATTTATACTGAGTTGGCATGCTTTCATTATTGTTCCGGACGAAGTCATCAACACTTAATCCAAGTGTAAACAGAAAACTCGACCTTAATGATCTTTATTTTTAAGAAATTATCAATGGTTTGTAGCATCATGCTGTTACTATTCGTGAATAAATTATTTTCTTGAGCTGAGTGCTGCGATATGACCATTTTTCTCTTGAATATCAAGAAAATGAAATTATAAACTCTTACTATTGATTTAATTATTATGCTCAGTGAACACCTTAGTGTTTATCTGGATTCAGTAGTACATTACTGAACGGGTTAGTATGTGCATCGAAAGATACTAGATTCTAGTCCCAGTGCAGATTCATCCTCCTGTCAAGTTCCAAATAACAGAAAATAAGTGTTAAGCAGTTATAAATTACAACAATTTAGAGAAGAAATTTTTGTTTTTGATGATTCTCTTCTCTAAATGGTCATAATTTCTTTTCAGTGACATTATAGGTTACTTTTATTAGTGGAAAATTGAAGTAATCTTCATTTAAAATGATAACCATTCACTAGGTAAATCTGTAATAAGTTAATATATTTTAAAGACAGATATTTAGAAATTGTAAATATTTTCTAATTGATTAATTTTCTAATTTTGAATCGTTATCAAATAAGAACTAATTTAAACTACATATATGATGAACTTTTTATTCATACTGGTTGTTTGATGAACATAATACAACTACGGATTATATACAGTTTGATATGATTAACTTGACCAATGATTAAAATTTCGTTTGTCGATGATAGAAAGCTAACAGTGTGAGTGGAGAATTTTGATTATGTTGTATCCTCTAATCTGGCTGCTTTAAATTATGAAGCTTAATGTTATTTTTGTAAAGAACATTAACTTGTACAAATTAGTAATGATGTTTTCTGGGTAGAATTCAACAAATTCACGAAAAAATAATTTTATTCGGAGGACACAAGATAATCATTTCTTCAAGACAAGAGTTTAAAAGTAAAAGCAATTTATTCTAGAAAAGTGGATTTTAAAAATTAGACATTTTGAACTTGATTTTCAATGGCATTTTTTTAAACTTTTGCTTAGATCACATTTACTGAAATTCGTAGTACAAAAAATACAACACAGAATGCAATTGTGCAGATAATTTTTTTCCTCCTTGTTATTACATCCTTTAAAGAAATTTATTTCACTTAATGTATATAAAAATGGATATGTACCTACGAAATGATGTCACCACTTGGAATTTTTAAACGTATTTTATGTCAAATGACTACTACTACTACTACTACTACTACTACTACTACTACTACTACTACGACTACTACTACTACTGCTACAACTACTGTTTATTTTGATGTTTTCAAATGAATAAATCACTCGTGATATTTAGTTTTATATTTTTAGTTTGTGAATTAGTGAAAATTCAAGTTTTTTAATAGGCTAAATGTGATATAGTAGTTTTTCTTAACTTTTGAAAAAAGAAGTTGCATAATAGTGATTAATAAGTTGATATCAGCATTATGACAATCTGCTAGTAATATGATATCATCACTTACTGATAAATCGACTTTTATTGTACATGATTAACAGATTCTAGAATTCTTTCATAAGGTCGGCAGAAATTCAAGATAATTTTACACTCACTATTTTGTTTTATGAAATGTTTGATTCAATAGAGATTTCTCGAAACAAAACGATTATATATATATATATATATATATATATATATATATATATATATATATAAGTGATTTGTTTCAAGGAAGCTTGTCTACTTATTCATAAGGGTTTATGGACAGAAAAATGAGGGCCCATATAGAGTAAATCATGACTTTGGGCTTGTAGAAAGTTTAGGAACCATCCTAAATATAGTAGCGGCACGACTAAATATCCAGTGGGCATCGTGGCACGTAATTATGCCACGGTTCGATCTAATGATAATTGAGCTAAACGATTCTTAGCGTTTCTTAGCCTCTTCAGACATTTCCGAGAGGAATTTTGGGGCTTTCCAACAAACAGACAGCTCTTTTTCTCAGAAAGTTATGTAGCTACAAGGCAAAGTAATAAGGCATGACAGTTTGTTTCAAATAGTTTTTAGATATTAACATGAATATCTTTCACTTCTGAGCTAAATTTAGTACTTTTGTTTTTAGGACAAAGTAAACAGATCTTAGATTATTTATATCTTTCTGATAGGTACAAAATGATGCACTTTGTTTTCAATAATATTTTCACTGGTCATAAACTACACATATTAAGCATGTAATTATCATAAACCATAGAGTTATTGAGTTTTATTTTGTAGTTCTGAACTCTTCAGCAGCTAATGCATAAGCAAATTAACAAGCTCAAAGGCTTCGTACTCGTTGTGGGACTTACAAATTCCAGATCAAAATACGTATGACAGTGTGGATATACAATGCTAATGGTCCCATGTATAATATAAAAATAACTTCAATTCAATTTCGGTGATTACTTCTTGATATAAAAATAAATCTGTATATTGGTTTTCAAAAAATACTGCACAATTACTAAAGATATTTTGTGAATTTATTTTGAACATCTGTGATCATGTGTTAAAATTTAATATATTTGGAATATCAATATTGAACAACAAATGTTCACATTTCATTTGATTGATCAGATATTCTGTTATTGTTTATTAGTTCTAAAATATAAAATTGTTTTTGCTTAGTAAATATGTTTTTTCCGGAGGTAAATTATGTCAATAAGTCTATGGAAAACAGGTCGTCAGTATTTTTTATTGTAAAGCTCGAAATAACTTGATTTTTTTATGTGTAACTGAATTCCTGAGCTTTTTGACCTAGACAATAATTCATAATTATGCTTTGTGATGAATATTTCAATTAATCCATATATAGAAAAGAAGGCCTAAACAATGCGTTATCATCTTGATCAAGGCACATTGCTATCTCTGTTCAATGAAAAATTGAATGATATGTAAAGTAGTCAATGGATTTAACTGTTTTGTGTTCTATGATCAATCTATGCTTTGATGCACAACAATTCTGAAACATGATTAAGAAGGGGGCTGGGCTAATCTATCAGATACTTTAACCGATAGCATATGAAAAGAAATATAGAAACTGTATGAAATCTTGGATAGCACATATAAATCCTTTAATGATAGAAATTTTATCCCCTGAAATATTCATTAAGTTGTATATCATCATTTGAACATAGATCAATATTCTATAATTTTATAGTTTAAATTGTTTGTATTATCTTTTTTTCTATAGATTCATATTTCTTCAACAAAAATGGCCTTGTATAAGAATTCCTCTGCATATTCTAACAAATAATCGATTATAATTGAAGATTGTTCTCATGTTGTTTTAATTGGATTACGATTTATGCTGGTGTTTTTACACTGCTTTTTTTGAATAGGAAATCAATCTAAATCGTTTACGTTCCCATCCTGAAATTGTTGTATGATACTTTTATCAGATCTTGATATTCCCGCAATTTTTTCGACTAAACTTACCTCATTAATAAGGATTGAATGATAGGCCAAGGTATTTTAACTTACAAGTTAGTTCCATTTTTCAACTTATCTTTTTATCTTTACTTATAATCTATACTCTTATTTGTTAATGATCAAGTTACTAAATACTGGGAGAATGTCTAGTTAGTTATTAACCTCGCTTCAGCTAGGAGGTCAGCCTGTAGGCCCTTCGAGATGAAAAGAGAAGAACTATTGCAAAAAAATGCAACATTAGTAAATGAAAAAAGAGCGAAATGGATAGGGACATTTGAGCTCAACTATATTAAAGAAAACAGTCAGAAAACTATACGAATCTGTTCTATATATACAAAAAATCACATTCACCACAGTCTATTTACATGCATGTATGCGGCCGATGAATTTACTACGGTCTTCCGGTCTGTCGGAGCAGATGAAATTGGTGCCAATTTAACCCATTATGGTTGAGCTTCCTACGATGTCTGGAAAATTTTAGAGACAACCAAAAGCGCTGATAAGTACTCTTAGTATGAGACGTGAAAACTTCTACCATATATGTATTGTATATTGACATGGATGGGTACGGTCGCCAGTATGTTTTATATATAAGTACAGACTATACGAACAGTGCCTACTCATTCAGTAAATAGGCAAAGAAGTATCCATATAAACGTATACGTTACATGCGGAGCCTACCCTTTCCTATACACACATAAGTATAGATACGTTAACCCTAACTGCGCAAATGGGGAGCAGGCTAATCCTCCTCCCCGTCTAAACTCTGGATTAAAAAAGGGATGAGCTGTAAAGTTAAATGTCCCAGGATATTTACAGAAATTTCCATTTGAAACTAAAAAATACCTAAAAAACAAAAATATTAAAGGTAGAAAACTCCTGTGTAACTTACAATATCACTTAGATTTGTAATGAAACTCAAGAATCTATCTTCAGTCTGGAGAAGGAATTCGACATCTTTATTTTTGATTTCAATTTCATTAGATGATTGAATTGTTTTATCAAGTTTCTAGATGGTAGTAGACAAATATATTTCTATTAAGTTTAACCAAATTAAATAAATTATCAGTGTTATTTGAACAAACACTTAACATGCTTGAACATTAAATGACTATTTTTAGTATGTTTGAAGCGAATCAATAAAAAACACCTGTGAATATTCACCCATGAGACTGTGCCTTTATAAACTTATTAAATAAAATGAAGTGAGTTGTCAAATATTGTTTGATTTCTAATAATTATTTTGACCAAGTTTCTATAAGCCAACTGAATATTTTGACATACAAAATATTCGATTAACATAACATGACTGTGTAATCTATTGTGGATAACAAAGGCATAAATCAAAGAAAAACAAATGTTATTATTATTGATTTCTTTGTTATGCTATAGAGACGGGAAAAAAATGGACGAATTCTCGTAAATAGGAAAATAAAGAATCAAGGATGATGAATGGAATAAACTTTTTACCGACTGTAAAAGTTGATACAACAGGTATATCATGTATTCTGTATTCGAAATGTGGGTTAAATACAATTGTGAAATAAATAGTTGGTATAAATAAAGATAATAAAAGATGAGCGAAATAATAAAACAATTATTAATTTTCAATTGGAGTTATGGAGATTAGTGTTTTTTTACACGTTTGAAATCATCAATAAATCATTGTTAGACCACAATTAGAAACCTGGAAGTACTGGACGGCCGTTTCGTCCCGGTATGGGACTCATCAGCAGTGCGCAAAAGCGACTCCTGCACCTCGCAGAATCGAAACCCGGGATCTTCGGTATTGTGCGCGAACGCCTAACCATCGGATCACTGGGAACTGGATCAATGAGAAGACGTGACCAGTGGAGTTCAGCCCTGTCGGGTGTAGGCAGTAACTATGGAAGACTATTAGGCGAGGTCGCACAAAATCCCTAGATCAATCAGAGCTAGACATCAACATCGTTGGATGCCGGTCCAGTGGTCCAATGGTTAGGTGTTCGCACACAATACCGAAAGTCCCGGGTTCGAATCTTGCGAGGTTCAGGAGTCGTGGATGCGCACTGCTGATGAGTCCCATACTAGTACGAAAAGGCTGTCCAGTGCTTCCAGGTTTCTATTTGTGGTCTAACAATGATTGATTGATGATTTCAAATGTGTAAAAAAATTTATTAATTGTGTCACGTTTCCTATCAGCGATTGTGTATCATATAAAATAATATGAAATTGTGGACAAGTAAAAGAATGAAAATAAATAGATGCGGTAAGATAAGACTGTAAAAGATCGAGTAAGGTGGAATATGCTTGTTCGAAGAATCGGATTAACTTATCATATGTAAGGTATAAATGTAGGCTCCAAACTGAGGTTTGGACTGAGGAATAATTATCTAGGTATTTTAGATACGCATCTTGCCCAGCTGAATTCAAAACAAGTGATTTGGGTAAATAACGGTTCTAATATTCATCATAAATATAAATATACATCATTACCTAAACAATATTATCGCAGCTATTCCACCAACAATTGTTCAATTATTACTCCTGGACAGATCAGATTCGTTCAACAGATAATATTTGGTTGCTTTATAACACAGAGTGTTTCCTATTCTCGAAGAGTGCTTCAATTCACAATGAAAGTGAAAAATTCCAGTCAAAGCAAGCAACACAATCAAATGAGGAACAAGTCAATATGGCTGTCGCCATGACTGAGTATCAGCTTAAACAACTCAATGCAGTTCAGAAAGAAACACAGAAACTCAGTAAAGGCAGAAGAATTAGAAACTATAATAAAATACAAATATAATCATCTCAAATGTAATCGAACAGGTTAACAAAATGTACAACTGAATCAATAAGGACATATTACAAATGTATACATGGATGGATTTTCACAAACAAAGCCTTCAAAATGTATCTTACAATAAAGCCAATGAAGGTGAGAAAAAGGGTTAATGTTATGTCGATTACCAAACTATCATTCTAGCTAAGACTATAATTCAAAAAGGCTTCATGCAAGTAAAACGGAACTCTTCAGTTGACTTAAAGTAATACAAAATAAGTTACTAGCCATTATAACGATAACATTAATAAGTGATTCGAATTTCTGGTTTTAGATAAAGATACATTTAAATCTTGGCCAATAATAAATTTACTTGTTGAACTTGTCTAATTTCAACTTCTTTTTGACCAAGTAAAATGTCCATTTTTTGACGTATTTCATTTAGTTGTTGATGAAAATAGCGTAAAATCATTTCACGTTCTTCTGTAAGATTTGTTTCAAGTTTTTCAATTTCTTTTCCATAGGCATTTTTCAGTGCTCTGAATAAATGAATAAATCAAAAAATTCATCATTGTCAATAAGTCAGTTATTTCTTCAAAACCATAAACATGTTTTAGTGTATTTGTATGTAAGTGAGTTTTTGATTCATATTTCTGCATATTTGAAATCACCAGTCAATCATTGTCAGACCACTATTAGAAACCTGGATGCACTGGACGACTGTTTCGTCCTGGTATGGGACTCGTCAGCAGTGAGCGTCCACCACTCCTGCATCTCGCAGGATTCGAACCCACGCGAAAACCTAACTATTGGACCACTGGGCAGGCACCCAACGGTGTTAATGTTTAACTCTGATTGATCTAAGGATTTTGCGCGACCTCACCCGTTTGTCTTTACTAGTTACTGCCTGTACCCCACAGGGTTGAACTCCACTGGTCACGTCTCCTCACAAGAACTCGGAGAATTTCCTCACGAAGCTAGTCACTAGTGAGCACATTTTACGATATTTTCAGTTAAAGTTATGGGGATTAGTGTTTCCACACATTTGAAATCATCAGTCAATCATTGTTAGACCTAGTATGGGACTCATATTTCATTTATAAACTAGTTCTCATTAAGGAAGAATTTGGAAACACTCCGAAATCATATAAAATCTTAATATGGATTGTTGAATTACTTCAAATATGATTGTCTAGTACTCTATACACGTCTCTACCTGTGAAAGTGTATGATCAGTGTTAGTGATGATACGCTTTAATATTATTAATGATTGTTAACAATCTAATCCAGACAGTTTAATTTCTTTGAAATAGTGATGAGTATAGAAACATCTTCTTTTAGGAATCTAAAATTTACCAAGGTTGGTAGTTTATGTTCATTTAAGGGGAATGTAAGAAAAGTCCTAGTAATATTATTCTCAAATTCAGAAGGTTAGCTGTACCTAAAATAATTAAAAACCAATAGATATTATCGATTGTCATTGTTGTGTCAACAGAAACAAGATACCTGATGCAGCTGAACTCTATTGTTCAGAATTTCTCTCGAGAACTCTGAAAAATTCGCGTAAAAGCTAGTTACTAATGAGCATATTAAAATTATCTGCATGAAGGTGTGGAGATTTTCGAAAGCTGTTAAGACCATGAACTGGTCTAAGTGAGACAGTTATCGAAAACCTGGATGAAATGTTCAGCTGTTTCATCCTAACATGCGACTCGTTTGAAATAAACATCCAGATAGCTTAAACAAACCAGCAACAAATCAGATAGAATGTCACATTACAACATTAACTTTTGTCGGAAACACTTGGAATGAATAAAGTAAATTTTGTTAGATTTATTATGATTAGTGTTTTAAAAGAATTCGACTAATGAATGATCAATGAGATTCATTAGGTTAAAAAATTTGGATATGATTTAAGATTTTTTCTGATTTTTTATTTTTATACACTAACAAATTGACTAAGATGTCTTAAGCAAATACACAAATCTAAAACATTTGTATTGTTTGTTTAAACCTTCCGATGTTTGGGACTGCATTTGGTCAGTTTCTATGGTATATGTGTATCCTGTACGGATCGCCTCGATATTGCCTTCAGATTACAAGCATTATCAGCAAAGATAGGTAGTGGCTAGCAGTAGAATCCAGGAAGCGCGTTTTATTCTATCTGGGATGGCATTTGGAGCGTAAGGTACAGGATTCAAGTCCTGGAGTGAACATCAACTCTGAGATGTAGGTACATCCAGTTGACGAGTCCCAAATAAGATGAAACGCATATCCTAGATCCCACTGCTAGCCACTGTCCATCTCTGTTCATAAATCTAATCGATATTTTCAAATAGGCAAGACTAATTTTTCAGATATTGTGTAGGTACACAAGTGCGATGGATTTTGCACCATACTTTTGTAACGCCATTTTTATTGTATCATATAAACACATCTGATGATCTGCAATTTCCAGTATCTTGACGAATATTATGAATTCAGATTTATTTATTTAATATTTTTCTACGATAACAGACAGATTTAGCTTCGTCTTTTACAAGTTGAGATTGGAACACATCAAAGAAATTATTGGAATCCAAACTATGATGATCGCAGCTAATCTGTATGTCAGTGGATGTAAACTTCAGTATGTAAGTTTTACTCCCGACCGAAGCTGCTACCTTGACGTGGTGGTCGGGCTTGCCTATCGTCATGACCCAACCGAGCTATACTGGCTGGAACACATGTTCCTGCAGGTCCTACCATGCCAGGCAGGTCGATTGGAGAACGATGAGACTAAAAGCAGCTACCCAAGGTCTGAGGGCGAAGTCGTACTGCTGACTGCAGAGGGGTGTGACAGCAGTAAGGTGTTTCCCTCGGACAACCAGCATCTGCAGCGATGCTGCCTTCTCACAAGGAAGGAAGGGTTAGAAAAGGTCGGCCCTAAAAATGTCACACCTCCCCTACCTCACGGATTTCCGTCTCCTTGGGTAAGGGTGCCCACTAAGGGCCTTTAAGAACGGAGCTAATCCTCTAAATACCTCTCATAAAAAGGCCGTGCGTGACCGGCCTGAAGCAGTTGTCCCTTGGACTCTGCGGTCACGCACCAACACTAATCCATCTTCCTTTTCAGGTTCGTCAAGAAACAACCTTCCACGGTGTGGGCAGCCGGGAAGTGATAACCGCCCTCATACCCGCAACAGCACACGAGACAAAATTGTTCAAAATCAAATCCTTCCTACATTCCCTAATACCTCTCTTATCTCCACAACTAACTCTTCTCACATTCATTTATTACAGTGCACAGCTAATGCAAACGATGCGAGTTTGCGAAACGTCGTTCCTGGTCTCCTTAAACCCCGTTCCAAACTACATGTTGGAGCATTCAATGTACGGACATTGTGTCAAATAGGGCAACAGGCGTCATTAGCTAGGACTTTAGAATCTCGTTCTATCGATGTGTGCTGCGTCTCGGAAACGCGCATACAGGATCCGAGTAGCATCACTCATTTGACCTCACCATGTCAAGATAAAGAAGCAGCTCGATTTACTCTTCGTGTATCCGGTAGCCCTGATGCTGCTTCTAGGGGCCTCGCCGGTGTAGGTATAGCATTGAGTCGTAGGGCAGAACAATCTCTCCTTGACTGGATCCCTGTAGATAGTCGCTTGTGTGCAGTCCGACTGAACGGGACAGTAAGGACTCGGAAAGATAGGGACACTCGCCGTTGCCTCTTCGTCATATCAGCCTACGCCCCCACTGACTGCAGCCCAGATGATGTAAAAGATGAGTTTTACAGAAAGCTTTCGGACCTCCTCCAAAAAGTTAAGCGCTCTGATATAGTTATAATGGCTGGTGACTTCAATGCACAAGTAGGTAGACTAAGTGAAAATGAAAGACACCTAGGTGGATGTTACGGTCTCGCGGCTCAAAGAACAGACAATGGCGACCGTCTGTTGCAACTGTGCTCAGATAACCAACTATTTCTAGCAAACACTAATTTTAAGCATAAGGAAAAACACCTTTTGACCTGGCGACCCCCGAAGTCGTCTCAACGTTGGACACAACTAGATCACATCGCCATCAGCCACCGATGGAGGGGTTCGATAGAAGACTGTCGCTCGTTCTGGGGCACATGTTTAGATTCAGATCATGCCCTAGTGCGAGCACGTATTTGTTTGAGGCTTGCTGGACGTAGGAAAGACACCGTAAGGAAGCCTCTTAGGGCTTTACTTGATGATAATCAAGCTAAGAAAATATTTCAGGAGGAATTAGAAAAACAGTTAGGCGACCATGCAAGTGATTCCCATCCAGAAGCAGGTTGGAATCATATCAAGAAGGCTGTTGAAACAGCAATGGTTTCTGCTAGCAAGGTAAACCACAATGCTAGGATGAAGCAGTGGATTTCAGTCGCATCCACCGAACTGATGGATGCTCGAAAACGCATCCCACCTGACTCTGAACATGATGAAGAGCGTAGTCAGCTTAGGCACAGACTTATAAAAAGCCTACGTAACGACCGCGAACAGTGGTGGGTGGCGAAAGCAAGAGCGATGGAAAAGGCAGCGGCGATAAGCAACACTAGACAACTTTTCCGCCTTATCAAAGAAACCGGTATTAGGAACCCGAATGTAAGTGAGACTATCTCGGAAAAGGATGGTCTTATTATCCATTCTCAATCTAGGAGGCTGGACCGATGGGCAGAACACTTTAGGGATCAGTTCAACTGGCCTTCAGCCACTCTTCGGTTGCCCACGATCTCCAGTCATCCTGAATGGCAAATCGATTTAAGTCCTCCCGGTTTACATGAAGTTGAGAAAGCTATAGGAAATCTAAGGAGAGGTAGGGCGGCAGGTCCCGATAGGCTTACCCCTGAGATGTTTAAGGATGGTGGTCCAGTTTTAACGGTTAAACTGACCGAGATCCTAGGTAGAATCTGGGAAATGGACGTAATCCCATCCGACTGGTCTCAGTCGCTAATTGTCCCAATCTACAAGAAAGGACAGAAGTCCTCTTGTGACAATCACAGGGGAATAAGTTTAACTAATATAGTTTCTAAATTGTTAGCCTCGATTATACTTAGACGTCTAACTAGAGCTCGCGAAGAGCAGACTCGAGAAAACCAGGCTGGTTTTCGACCTGGACGTGGTTGTATAGACCACATCTTCACACTACGACAGGTCCTGGGACACAGACACACATTTAGACGTCCGACAATAGTCGTGTTCCTGGACCTTTAGGCGGCATTCGACTCAGTGGATCGTGAGGTTCTGTGGCAGTGTGTGTCATTGAAAGGTGTACCAAAGAAGTACATTAACCTTATACAAGCTCTCTACTCGAACACCACTGGTCGGGTGAGAGCATATGGCGAACTGTCATCTGAATTCTCTACATCAAGTGGTGTCCGTCAGGGCTGTCCGCTCTCTCCATTCTTGTTCAACTTTGTCGTAGACATCCTCTTAGAGTTAACATTAAGCTCGTCAGATTTTTCAGGGGTTGACCTTCTACCAGGAAAGTCGCTTACTGATCTAGAATATGCCGATGACATAGTTCTATTCGGTGAAGACGCTGACAAAATGCAGAGTCTTCTGACTACCATAAGCAACAATGCGAGCATGTTCGGGATGCGGTTTTCCCCCTCGAAATGCAAAATGTTGCTTCAAGACTGGGTTGCTTCGGCACCTGAACTAGTGATAGGGAGTGAAGTAGTCGAGCGTGTAGATCACTTCACTTATCTGGGTAGTCTCATCAGTGCTGACGGTCTGGTGACTGACGAAATCTCAGCTCGGATACAGAAAGCTCGATTGGCTTTTGCCAACCTGCGTCACTTATGGCGTAGGCGTGATATCCGTTCGCTAACCAAAGGGCGGGTGTACTGCGCAGCAGTTCGTTCCGTTCTCTTATATGGCTGTGAAACATGGCTGTTAAGAGTAGAAGATGTTCGTAGGTTACTAGTATTCGATCATAGATGTTTAAGGAGCATTGCTCGTATATCGTGGGACAACCGTATAAGCAATGCTGTCGTTAGGAAACGAGTACTAGGTAAGGATGGCAGATCAATAGATGAAGTGGTGAAACTTCATCAGTTGAGGTGGTTGGGACATGTGTTACGTATGCCTAACCACCGACTGCCTCGACGAGCTATGTTTTGTGGTGTAGGAGTAGGTTGGAAGAAAGTTAGGGGCGGCCAGACCAAAACATGGCAGAAATCCATGAAGTCACTGACAAGTGGACTGAGTCATGTTGGTAGATGTAGACTACCTGGTTGGGGTCCGCGAGACGAAAGTCATCAATGGTTAGAGACCTTGAACGACATGGCTCAAAATCGTTTGCAATGGCGCAGGTGCATCCACTCTTTGAGCCCTCTCAAATCCTAATCTTCTGGATTCTTCAGCACCTCTACCTTTGTCTTTCTAACCTTATCTCACTGAATTATATTTTTTGAATAATATCTTAAACCCTAGTCTTCTTTATTATAACATTAATACCTCTACCATCTTTATCACTATGGGATTTGATTTGACATTTGCGTCTCTGTGCTAATAATGTGGTATGGCAACATGAACTTATGTACATACGTACGAAGTTCTACGTTGCAACTGACTGACTGACTGTAAGTTTTACTATTTTGTCGTAAGTATATCATATAAACGATACATTGCATTAAGCCTTTAGATTATATTGTTTGGTTGTTAGATTTCAATCAAAAGTCAAATTTATAAAAAAGTGGTAACTGACGTGTAAGATACACCGGAAATCCTACCATTTCGATAACTAGCAATGAATGATTTGACATTTTAGAAAACGAATAATATGCAATATAAATAATTTTGTGTTTAAAACAATTAAATATAACTTGCTCAGTCAAATATAATTCCAAATTCATTGAACGAATTCCAGCCAATACACTTGGTTCATCATAAGTGTTCAATTCTAATGCTTCATGTAATGATTGTGTTAAATGATCAAGATTGATCATTCCATGTTTCGGAAATCCTAAATACTTTTTTGCATTAGTATTGAAGATAAGAAATGTTTGAAACAAAATAATTTATTCGCTTTCTGAACTATTCATGAACAATAAATTTTAGATAGATTCATATATGTGAAAGTTTAAAATATGAAGTAAACTATTTCGTTTAAGGTATGTTCAAACAAAGATGTGTAATCTGATTAGACCAAAACCTTTTGTATGTGTTAACCGAAAATATCTGTCATTACTTTGGTCACTGCTTTATTGTAATTTAGACAGTTTCGCAATCTGAGATTGGTGAGTAGAGCTTCTGTTCGTTTATCATTGACTAGATAGCTATTCAATTTTTCAGCTTAGAGCAGTCCTAAAATCCACTGAAGAAACACACTTATGACGTTCGTAGAGTGACAAACCTTAAAAATTGTCGGATTAGACTTTTCTAAATTCTATCCTAGTCAAACTGTGGTTGTGTTGAATAAGTATGCATTGGTCACACAGCGATCCTTTGATAACACAAAATCAACAAAATTTCACAACCTGACGTCGTCATATTAAATAAGGTACTTTTAATCAATAATAACGAAGATCAACTGTCTGAAAGCGACATTATTAAAAAGTAATATAATTCTAAGCTCTTTTTTTATACTTACTAATTCTCAAATATTAAGACAACCCATATAAGCGAACAATATTGTTTTCAGTTAGATTGTCATCATGCTTTACTCTAATAAACATGAATATTTTTACGAAATTTCAAACCGATCAAGGAAATTTATGAGTCAGTAATCACAATGAAATAGATAATGTAATTACACATGATAAGTAAAAGTACAAGTTGATAGTAGGAAGACATGGTGTATTGTTAGTTGTAAGAATTACAATAAACAGTAACAAAAGCTTTTGCCAATAGTTCAACATTGAAAAAAGGAGATCGAACTTGAATAAACAAAGATTCTATCGAATTTCATAAAGTTACTGGTAGTAAAGATATCAATCAAAATGTAGAGAAACAACTGGCTAATTCTCTAAAGGAACTAAGGTAAAATGGGATAATTTCGTCGCCGCTAAATCCTTCATACAACTCACTCGTAAGGAGCGTCAAAGACGTCTTATAATTCAAGCCTAAATTGGAAAGTATGAAGGTTAGTAAGAAAAATATGATTTCACTAGTTTAGCTGATTTCTTCTTAGCAAAGTGAAAAAAATAACCCTTTAATGACGCTATTAAGTAACTAGATCTATACTGCCGCTACATCAACGAAACATTCATTGTCGTTGATCAGAATACAACTAAAGAAGAACTCCTAAAACAGTTCATCAGTGTACACCTAACAATCACTTTGACAGGCGAGGACGAGGGTAACAGAAAACTGAATGTATTTGACATCTCAACAAGTAAACGGAGTGACGACTCATTAATTAGAAGCGTGTATAGAACCAGTTCCTCTGCTTGGTAGACAGCGTTAGTTTGACACCTATCCACTAAACAAGAAATCTGGTTAGATGTCTCATAAGCAGAGAAAAATGATCTTTTTGGTAAATATCCTAAGGAAAGGGCCGGGATTTATTAACAGATTACTGACCGAGATCTGCTGCCCCAGTGCGCTCTTAAAGCAAAATATGTATATAATCAAAAATAAGTCGGAAACCTTGACTATTAGAGAGAGAACACTATTCCTAAAACCAGGGATGTGGCTATCTATGTCCTGCATGATAGATTGATGAAAGCGATTGGTAGGACATTCTACGCAGTCAATCTTGCATCAACTTTCTCTAGTTGACCGATGATTCCTACTCAAACGAGGATTAAATGACTGCTCGTACCCTTTACCAACCAATGTTAAAATGAATGCAGCCTAGGTACAGAGCTTCTTTCTTATTAGCTTTAACAACGTAACATTAGAACTAACTATATGTTCGGGAATCTATTTCTGAGCTAATCAGTCGTAAACATGTGATTACTGTTACGATAAGGTTATGAACACTTCAGCGGGAAGCTGATTTTTAATTATGAACTGTGTGACTTACTAATTTCGGTCTACCCAAGAAAGATTTAAAAGTGTAGTAGATGGTCTTGCCATTCTGACAAAGTTACAAAAGCTATTCGAAGTTTCGATTTCGTATTCTTAAACATAATTTTTAGCATACTATACACATTTCTTTCATATTACATCCTAGTAAAGTTAGAGGTAGGTAAACAGGTGCGTGCTTGTTTTGTGGCGTTTTAATCATCTCATCAGTACATAAACATAACCCGTCCTACTATTTCTCATTACTTATATGTAACTAATACCCTCCAAATCTACACTCATTGTATTTCCGATCACCAACTGTGAGTTAAATATCTGAATGATAGACACACCTTAACTAGCTTAAATTCATCTTACAAAAATCGAACTATAAGTTAATTTGATAAACTGTTGGAAACTGTAATACAATACTGAGACTATATCCAGTTAATCTCTTTCTTGTTTTTTTGTGCCTGATTTCAGGTATTTACAAACTGTATGCTATAGGAATTATTAGATGTTAAACTCTAATTTTCATATATCATGTCTGGTTCATACAAATGATTGTTGAACTAATATTTTATGTAAAAACAACTAAGATACTAGTAATAGTACAGCAATCAATAAAATATTTGAAGTAACACATACTTTGAGTAGATTTTCTACATCTGGAACTCCAAGCTTGTTCCAACAATTTTCAATATCTTCAGCATTGGCGAAACTGTATTATATTTTCAAAGAAGATTTCATTTATGTAATGAAGCAGTTTTTATGTTGACAATGATTGTTAAAAACACACGGAGTCCATTAATAATTTGGACAACATAGTTGAATCTCCCTAAAATCCACTGACGTTTTAGTTTGTGTAACAGCGTGTCTTAGAACTCATGAATAGAAGTGACATGATGAGAAAAATAAATACACACAATATAATAATCTTACAAATCTCTTATAAAGAACGAAACTAATTTGATGAAATTAAGCGAATGAAGAAGCTACCTGAGATGAAAATTCATCTACGAAAACTAATTTCGAATGATTGAATCATTCGTTGATTGGTTAATTAGAGGTGTACATATTCAAAAAATGAAATGGTTATTTGAATATAGGATATTCAGCTAGAATATAATCATTATTAACAATAAAAACAAACACATCAATAAATGACCAAAGATCAGAATGGTCACAAAAAAACCAATAATTATTTATTTCTTCCTGTCTCATCAATAGTGTTTATCTAGTCCTTTCAGATTGTCCTTTGTTTATTTGGTTCTGTCATTGTTTAACTTTTGATCCAGTTTACAAACACTACACATGATCTTAGCTCAAAGAGCCTGTCATATGCTCTGATGATGTTCTTGTGACTTTCGGGTTGCCTGATCTGCCAAGGGCGATGGGTAAGTGCATGAGGCTATTGTTGTGTGCTTGGGTTCGAAGACAGTTGTATGCTGTATGTATGCACTCTGTCCCGTTATTGTTCCCTTTTCATCTTTTGACCCAGTTTACATATATATAAATTTTTCTAAGTCACACACTGCTTGCACAAAGTCTTCAGGTAATCTATAATTTGAATACTTATATAGAGTAGCAAAACAGATCATAGTGAAAAAGTATAACTAGCAGAAATAAGTTTGAAAGAATTAGTTGATTGTAGATTTTCAAACACACATTTAATCCACTTACCCAGAATGCTTTAAATCAATTGCTGAGAAAAGTGATAATCTACAAGGATCTAAATTTTTTAGATTAATTCTTTGACTTTCATCGTATTTTTCATGTTCTCTTTGTCCAATAATTACTGAACGATTAACTCCTTTATCTGATGTTAAATTCAAATCGGGTGGATTAGGCTGCTTACTGGCAATCTGTCGTAGAAAAAAATAGAAAACAAAACTCTCTGGATTACTTGATATTACTAGTAATATTGTCATTATGTATTTCAAAACTGACTGAAGTTGATTGATATTGAGCACTGATTTCCAACTCTAAGGACGACTGGCAATGTGGTCACTGTGACATCTGGGTCAACTCAGATCATTCTCTTTTATAGAAGAGAGTGTATGCTACTTCAGTTATTCATACAAGGACTAAAGAAGTGCGTATTGGATTTTAGTCTGAAATATTTTTTCAACATATCGACGAAGCACAATTTTAAAGCAACTGATTCAGTGATACTATAAAGGAATATTTATATGTTTAGGATCAGGCCACAAACTAATGTTGTGGACAACCTGAAGCGCTTGACAGAAAATTCGGTTAATTAACTCAGTTTATTAGTAGATATATTTCACCAGGACCCTAGTGAAAACCAGCGTGAGGACAGTTTACTAATTCTGAGAGAGCATATATCTTCAAATAAGTGGAACTTAATAAAAAATGACACATTAAGAGATAAACTCGTTACCTACTATTCAATAGAAAAGAAAAGAATTAGCAGTAAAGTATACAGTTTCCATTTATCGTTTACTGTGTTGTGAGAAAAGATAATGACCACCTAAATACAAATGATGAAAGCAAATGCATTTTAAATAGTTGTACTAAGTTCATAGTTTAAACTTTCAGGTTTAGATATAAATGATGATTTGAGCAATAACCATTTATGATTATAAAATATAACGAATAAAATGAAATATTGGTTAGTTTTTATTATCTACCTATAATATTTTGATATAACTGCTGTACATTTTCAAAGATGAAAGTAATGTATCAAAATCTTTAGTTATACCATGACAATAAGATTAAAAATTCAAGTAGTTTTAATGGATTTCCACTTTTTGTTTCAGTTTTGGATTGAGCACTATTTAACTAGATGTTTACCGAGTTTGAATAAGAATATTCCTCATTGTACTTTAATGAAGTAAATATTCGTATTTTTATGTAGTGAATAAAGAATTATCTCCATTCAGCAACATCTTATTAGTAGATGAAGGTCTCAAGATAGTGAAAGCTCTATTATCATTATATATATATATATATATATATATATATATATATATATATATATATATATATATATATATATATATAATGAAAAATGATGAGATTGTGCCAATTTTTTCGCTCTGTGTTTTCTAGATACCGCAGAATACTGAGCGTACAATCAGTTCAACTACCCCTTTTCATAACCGTGCTAGAGAGTGCTTCAAAGGGTGACGATGAGCTTACTGGAGCGATGTAAATTTTTACAGGTTCTTACTAATGATAGCTAAGATCAGGGATATTCTTAAGACAATGGAGAGAAACTTAACCCATCGAGTTTAAACTATTTGGACTAAAGTATCAATTAATGATTGATAAGCTTGAAACTGAACAAATGAAACTATTATCCAGTATCTGGTGAGAAATATTGATTTTCCATAGTCATTTCTAACCTGTCCACTTCATCTATTTGAACATAGTTTATTCCATTCATGTTTATTAGATGGATGTCATTTTTGAAGGTTAAGTTAGTGAAATGTGTAATATGATAGATATCGATGTCTATGACATGAAACACCAACTTTGCTACGATATTATTTCAGAGTAGGAAGCCGGTGATATTTAATTGCTCAGCTCTTATTTACAGCAAACAGAATGATCGATAACATCAATAAGATGAGTACCTAGCCAAACTGGTACTTATTTCATAAAGTATTTTAAAGTGTAATGTATGTAAAACTCAAGATTCCGGTGATTTATTTAGTTTGCTTTTTACACTAACGAAATGAGAATTTCGGAAAGTAGTTTGTAGTTTCATGAGATTTGCAGGCTTATATACTACTGAATATGTAGTTGAAAAATGACAAAGAGAAATCAATTACCTTAGGTTGGTAAGGCTTAAGTTGTTCATCTACTGATCTTGCAACAACACCATTTCGTCTTAGTTTCAGCTGAGTACCGGGTTCAGGTATATTAGAAGGGACTAAATAGTTTGTATTGGGTTGACCTGAAATCAATGAATATAATAACTTACTATTATGGAAATATAACTATCCACAAAGTATTAAGATATTATCACTAACAATGTTTGATATGCAAGAATAATAATAATAATATTGCCTTATGGTATGAGTGTACATTAGTACTCCAAGTGGTCCAAATGAAGGAGGATAATGAAGCTACTGTTGTAGCACTTTCTTGTAGTAAGTCCCAGTTTTCGGCACTAATGACAGAAACTATGAGAAAGTTTGTATGACTTATCAAATGCAATAGATGACCACTGTAGTTGTAATCATCAAAAATATCTTCAATGTAGACATGAATCTGGTTGTGAGTAATTTATCAGTGACCAGAGATTAGCTTTTCCGAGTAGAGCTAGAAAAATTGAAGATTATGTTAAACTATCAGAGTAGCCATAAGTTCGTATGCAAGCAGTAATGAACAGTAAGAGTTATACAACTTAATAACTGCAATTAGGAGGAGGTAAACAATTAAAAGGACGTGTCAGTGTTAAACTTTTGTGTGATTTGAGTCATTTTTATACAATTTTTCTGTTTACTAAAATAAGCTTACCGACTTCTGGTTTATTGATTTGGTTTTCCTTTTGCGGTTTATTAGTTTCAGTTGTTTTAACTGGGATTTCTGATACCGACTTAGTGATATTATTTGACTTGTTCTGAGTCTCAGAAACTTTGTCATCTTGTGGTTTTGATGTCGGAACACTAACTTCTTCTTGTGTTTTTATAATTGTTTCAGGTTGTGAAACGGAAGTAGTCCCTTTCTTTTGTTCAACATTAATATTTGGTTGTATTTCAACATTTTTAGATTGAATTTTATTTGTTTCATCCTTTGGGTTTTTATTTTGTTTTTCTTTGAGTTCGGAAGATTTTGTATCAATTTCTGGCTCTTTAACTTCATCCACCAGTTTAGTGTTTGCAGGCATTGTTGGACTTGGAGCTCTGTTTGATTTTATTGTTTGTATAGGTGATGTTAAAAAGTTAATCAACGTAGAGGATGGATTTTTTTGATTATTTTGATCTGTTGATCCTTGACTCACTAGATCTACTAGACGCACAGACGCCGCCGACTTACCTTGTGGTGCTTGTGTATTGTTGTCTGAATTAGTTGTGGATTTATTGGTTGTTTCAGCTGATGAAGTTTGCTTTTCATCTATCTTCTTATCTGTTTTTATAGTTTCTTTTGGTTTATCATTACTTGTATTTGCTTTCTCAGATGTATCCTTTGACTTCTTTCCGACGTTTGGTTCTTCTCCTTTTTGTAAAGATGCTAATGATTTAGCTTCTTTTTTATCATCTTGCTGATCTTTATTCAATTCATCAGATTTTGAGGATTTCAAATTAACTGGTGAAGTTCTGCCAGAAATATCACTTTTGCCACGTGATTTACCAAGTCCCTGAAAGAGAAGCATTTACAAACGGTCATTAGTCGTAAATTGTATTCGAATTAAGAGATGAGTATTTCTTGAGATGCATTTTTATTCCATAAATTTGAAAAATGTTTGATGATTAGACCGTTAAACTTTGTCGCCATTTTTGGATAACTGAATTGTGGATTTTCTGAGTGCTTGTTTAACAATACAGTTGTATCATATTTAGTTTAGTTTTCCTTCACTATCGCTAAGTCATGTGAATATTATCACTACAGAATGTGATATTTACTGGAGATAACAAGCAAATGATGTACATCTGACCTTCATATTGTTTACTCGTATGTTAACTCCGCCAAAATGTTTTGTGACATGATCTCATGTAACTCAACAAAAAAATTCATATTTCCTACTTTTTTGAAATATTTGTATGCGATACACATCGATATTGTGACTAAACGTTGTATAAATGAAGTCAAATAAGCTATTACTTTCTTAAAGTGCAGTTTGTATATTTTGCTTTAATAAGAATGTAATCCAATAGGTTCTATTAAATATGAAATTCTTCATTCTTACGACCAAAGCTGTATCACATTCAAATGATTCACTATTTTCTTTAAAATTCTTTTTGGTCGGAACAAGCAAACAAAACGTACCACATTGTAAATGGAGCATATGATTCACAATGTCTCAACAGAGGTTTAGGTAAGACAGTTTAGTACTGGTTATCTAAATAGTAGCAATGTTATGTGTATGACGAAATACTAGTTATAGTTAGGGTTTAGACCTCTCATAATAATGAATTAATTGAGTGTAAGTTAGGAATTCTAAAGATGATAACAAACATGATCTGCACCTCAGTATTCAAACAAAAGATGCTGTTTCGGAATGGAAAAACTGAAATTCTTATTTAGCGGTCAGTCCATTTAATTAAATTGAAAACGTCAACAAATTAATTTTTGTAACTGACAGAAGAATAAAACGATAACGAGAACAAATATTATAATGGTTATTAAAGGAGGTATCCAATACGAAATCAGAATTGCACCAAATTTCGGAACGTAACTCAGCGCGCATATTTATCGAACTGTTTTATCTTTAAGTGTTAATGATATCTTGATTAACAGAAGATGAGACCAATTAAAATATTATTTACCATTTCGAATACTTTATCAACGAGTATACGAAAAAGATATTAATCTTCATATTGGTAATTGTTTAATTAAAAACGAAAATTATCAAAAATATTTGAAATTTAAAGTCATTTGACTTTGTTGATACGACTAATTAAATGGTTGTAGCTATTTTTTATAAACATCATAACAGTTTACTAATATAATGTATCAAATAAAAGTGAATTTATGGAGAAACACTAATCGAGAATTCACTGTCTAGACATTTTCCGAATCATTTCAACAATAAAAAGCTGCTACTCTTAATCTTAAATCAAAATTACTCTTCATCGTGTAGAAAGTTGATAAACATTTGAAGAAAACTATTATTATTCAAAAGTTCTTCAAACAGTTTATCCACATATTATGAATAGTTTTTCACGGGGTATTAGAAATAGAATAGAAAATAATAAAATCTTTTCGCTAAATCGTAGTTCAAAATTTAACTTACCTCGAAAAAGTTTTTCATGTTATTTAGGAGCTAAATATTTCATTAAACTGTAAATATTCCAAAAAAACTATTGTTATTTCTGAATATTTTACTGCATAAATAATAAGTATTGCCTACCGGGAGTTTTAATCGATCAGTTAGAAGACAGTAAATTAGCCAATTAGTTTAAGCACTGCAATGTTCACGCCAAATTTATTGCTTATTTAAAACATGGGTAGAATTATTGACTATTTCTACTTATTCTATTATAGCATATATACATATTAATATCGTAAAATCAATGATTTATAGATTCATAAAAGACCTTTACATATTTCAATAAATAATGAATAATAATATAGACACATGACTGGCTAATGTCATTCACAAAAATTAGCTTGATGGATTACTAGTTTAATTAAAATCTATGATTAGTTTTTCTATGAATACAATAACGATTATAGTAAAAGATAATTTTTTTTAGAGTCTATAGAAATGCTCTACAATAACTTGAAAAATTAAATAGTATGAGATGGTTGTTTTAGTTGAATTAGGTAGGTACTTGAGTACATTGTGCACCCAGGACCTACACTGGATCGTATTTAATATAATTAAATCTTACAGTGAGCATTATACCATTTGATTATTGTCTAGACAATTGATAGTTCTTATTTTCCAGAATCAATCATTTATTGACAGTTTATATGAATTTGGATTTTATGATACTGTCTGTCATTAAGGATTAAAGAAAATCCATTTTGTTGAATACACATAGAGAATTAAGATTTGATTCAAAGTTAGAGATTAATTTATTATTCAACTAAACATAATAGGATTCTCCAGATAACAACATTCAAATAAAATATGGTTGTCACACAATGTAATATCGATAAGGTCTTAAATATTGCATTCGCTATCGTTTCAAAGTTGAAAAATTCTTCTCTGTTGTTATTATCTACAAAACTCTGAAATTCAGGAAGCAGAATTCCCTATATAAACTAGATACATGTCTTAAAAAAATGTTACATGGAAAGTCAGAATACATTAACAGCATTATCCTGGTTTTCAGATCACATGTGATAAGACTTCATTAACCTTAATTATTGTTAGTCATATTAAACAATCTTTCAATTCTATTTTTCTAACTTCATACATTAAACGGATTAAGATTGTTAATTATTATTGTTGAACTTGTAACGAAAAACTATTTTAGTGTTATGATATTAACATCATTTTGTTTGTTGTGAATTGAATAATGCGTTTTCGGTCCATAATAATAGATTTTACAAACACAAAATAATGCCAGTTTATATAAGTAAACAACTTTCATCAATTAACCTATTTATTTAAACCTGTAATTATTTCATCTGTCAACTCCTCCTGTAGCCCTTCTTTTGGGGAGGTTATATCCCCAGAACTCAAGTGAAAAGTGGCCTAATTTCGGAGTTTTTGTGTTTTCGCCCATAAGCTGATAAGCTGACAATGATATTACGTTTCCCACCCGGAAAATCCTTGACTGTCATTGGTTGATGGATTATTTTAGTACGCTAAATTTGTGGCTCTCCCAAGGACGTTTCTACCACGTATAAATAAGCTCGACTTGGGTGCTTGTGGAATACACTTTCTAGGCCTTATCAGTTATTCTTTATATAGTTAGCCGGGCCAGCGACAACGGATTAAAATAGCCTATCGTGTCACTGCATCATTTGTCTTCGCTCAGTTTACAGAGTAAAGTGAACTCGTAATAGCTCAAGCATATCAACTGACGAGTATATCACCTTCTGGGGCTAATGCCGGTCCAAACTCTGGATAAACGAGGATGGTTGGGAGTGGGGTTGACGACCTTCCCATAGAAAACTAACTAGCTAAAAATCGCTGACCAGAAAAAATAATTCGAACCATTTACACTCTGCGCTGGAAGTTAGAGTGTCTTCATTTAGAAGATTTATGACGTCTCATGATAAAAGTCCAGTTCTTTCGGAAGTCACGAGGGCGATGCTCCTTCTGACGAGAACAGCCATTGGTTTAGGTATATGGAATGTTCGAATGATGTGGGAAACCGGAAGATTGGTCCAAATTCCTGCATAGATGAAGAGATACAACCTGGAGGTGCATGGAATCAGTCAAACACATTGAACGCAAGTTGGACAATAATGACTAGCTTCAGGAGAGCTGCTGTTGTACTCCAACCATGAAGAAGAAAATGCCTCACACATACAGGGAGTTGTCCAAACAAGCACAAAAGGCACTAGTAGGATGGACCAAGGGTCATCAAAGATTCCTTAAAAACAAAGAAAGAGGGAATTAAAATTAATGTCACACAATGCTATGCACCTATCAATGAAAACAATGAAGACATTAAAGAACAATTCTACGAGACGCTATAGTCACTCGTCAACAGATGCTCATAAAGGATTCGACCATCCTGATAGAAGACCTAAACTCCAAGGTTGGCGTGGACAACAGTGGATATGAAGACGTCATGAGAAGACAAGGACTGGGAGAAAGTAACAAAGACAGTGATAGATTTGCTAACCCATGTGCCTTCAACAAACTGGTCATCGGTGGTACACAAACGCATCCACAAAGCTAAGTGGATTTCACCTGATCACATTACATAGAACCGAAATAACCATATCTGTATCAATAAAATGTTTAGAAGGACGACGGGGAACATGGAAACCAAGGAGAGGAGCTGATATAGCGTCAGATCAACATTTTCTGGTTGCCATGATGAAACTGAAATACAAGAAGCACTGAAGAACGGGGAGGACAACATCACAAAATTTTAGTACGGCCTTTCTTCCGGATACTGAAAAACTCAACCAATCCAAGATATCCATCAGCAATAGGTTCCAGGCTTTGCACAATCTACTCAATGGAGAGGATACTACCGTGAAGAACAACTGGAAAGAGATCACGGAGGCAATCACTTCAACATGTCAGCAGTTTCTGGGTCACAAGAAGTACCATATCAAGAAATGGATCACTGTTGATGCACTGGATAAGATTAGAGGAAGGAAGAACAAGAAGGCAGCAATCAACGTCAGTAGAACAAGACCAGAGAAGGTCAAGGCACAGAAGTAAACAGGCGAGTGAAGAAGAGCATCAGAGCTGACAAACGTAAATATGTAGAAGATCTAGCAATGACGGCGGAAAAGGCTGCAAGAAAAGGAAACATGAAATAATTCTATGATACAACAAATAACGACCAGTGGAACGCGAGGATGACAAAGTATTCAGAAATGTTGAAGAAAAGCGAAACGGGTGGTTACAGAACTTCGAATTACTTTAGAATCGACCAGCCCCACTGAACATACGTAACATCGAAGCTGCATCTACGGACCTCCCATTCGATGTTGGTGCACCAACAATTGAAGAGATTAGCATGGCCATCAGACAAATCAAGAGCGGCAAATCAGCAGGATCAGACAACATTCCAGCAGAGGCAATGAAAGCAGATGTAGAAGCAACTGCGAAAATATTTTACATCCTCTTCAACAAGATTTGGGAGGAGGAACAAGTACCATCAGATTCGAAAGAAGGATACCTCATCAAAATACCAAAGAAAGTAGATCACAACAAGTGTGAGAACTACAGAGGTATCACTCTTCTTTCAATACCATGCAAAATCTTCAACAGGGTATTGTTAAACAGAATGAAGTTCTTCGTAGACGCTCAACTTCGAGATCAACAGGCCCGATTTCGTAAGGATCGATCGTATACTGACCAACATGCTACATTACGGGTCATTGTGGAACAATCAATTGAATGGAACTCACCACTGTACATCAACTTCATCGACTACGAGAAAGCATTCGATAGTGTGGATAGGAAAACACTGTGGAGGCTTCTTCAACACTACGGTGTGCCTGAGAAAATAATCAACATCATACGGAATTCTTATGATGGATTCAACTGCAAAATCGTGCACGGAGGACAGCTAACAGACTCGTTCGAGGTGAAGACCGGTGTCAGGCAAGCGGTGGAAGTAGATAGGACACAGTGCGGTAAGTACTTAACTGCATCTCAAGACAGGCTCCACTTGGAACTCTGAAGTTAAAAGTAAAATATGAAGGCCAAGGAACCTACTACGACGAGAAGCCGAGGTAGGTAGAATGAACGAAGTTTGGACAGAACTGGAAAGGGAAGCCCAGAACATAGTAGGTTGGAGAATACTGATGGGCGGTCTATGCTCTACTAGGGGTAACAGGCGAAACCTATCTCATCTGCCAGACTTTGACTAGTTAATCGGTGTATCAAAAATCTTGTTTACTCACTCTTAACAGTTGAATTATGTTGGAAAGAGTAAGAAATGAACAGTTACGGAAGAACCGAATCAGATTGCTTGATAAACTTGTGTATTTTATTTTTGATGTACTTTAATGTCGTTAGTAGTATAAAAATTTAATTAAATTTAAATAAGTGCATTCAGGATTCCAGCTACGACTTCTTACAGCTTCTTCTTCAAAGCAAATCATTATAATAAGATACTGTAATTTTAGAGGTAATTCAGTCAATCAGCTACAACGTAGAGCTTCGTCGGTACATACATAAGTTCATGTTGCCATATCACATTAGCACAGAGACGCAGTCGGTGGTTGGATTTTCGTAGCGTCTACTACCTTGTTTTTTGATCCCGAATTAATATGGCTTGGGTTGTAATATTGACCAACGGATCCCAATTCTCAGTGCAGTGTTTTCTGTTGTTAAATGATTATCTAATAAAATGACTTTTTTTTATTGGTTCAGTGAAGAAGATTGAGCGACAAGGAGTTACTTCAAATAGCAAAGACGAAGTTTGTCCGAATGTGCTTTTACCTGTCAAGGTGGTTACATGGATATAGTGATCTTCAAATTATTACTGTGAGCAGAGCCCAAAACGATGCATTTTACTTCATCTGATAGTTCTTAATTTTAGTAAACTGTATTCCCCCTCTTCTTTCCCAATTAATTATATTTTGTTCCGTACTATCTGAAGTATATCAATATTTATCTTTATAGATACACTTATCAATACAATAAAAACTTTCTTACAAAGAACCAACAATCTCCTTCAAATGCATTTGATTTTGGACATCGTTTAGTTTCACTGCATTGAATTTTATCAGTCTTATTAGTGATTGCGCTGGACTCGTACCCACATCTTCAATTATACTAAAACTATATCTATTGATATTTCACACTACTTAAATATGTTCATTTCGGTGTAGATTAACAATGAGTTTTTTTTGTATATTCATTTTTGTACAGTTAGTTTATTTATGACTAAACTGACTGTACATTTTACCCACTTTATCGAATGAATCAGTTTTCTTTGTATATAAATTTGTGAAAAACACGATAAGGAGTTTAATGAATTAGAGCTTGATCGTAAAACTAGAATGTCTAATACTCCATGATTTTTAAAGATACTTCAAAACAACATAAACTTGTTGTAAAAACTAATTAGAAAGTTTGCTGATTCAGTTTCTGTTAGAAAGTTATGTCAGCTTAACATATCGATACCATCAAGGGTTACATGCGATTAAGTTCACCGGTTTTGAAGAAAATGGAATGTAATGTAAAGAAAATTACAATTTCGTAGTTTGGTACTCAACCGTTAACTTGTAGGTTTAAGCTTCGATTCACCTGCTGAAACCAAAACAGAATTCAAATCAGCAATATGCTAATTGAAAGTCAAATGCTTTAACCACTAAACAATCACTTCCAACCCCAATTTATTCCGTTTAATCTAATCAGTCTAGCGGTATTGTTACCCTCGATGTATCAAATGTTTTTCATGTTATCCTACTACAAATTTGCAGTTAGCTACAGAATTGTACTCATTTTTTGACTACGAAAATATGATGGCGTAATGTATAGGCTGTTAAAAGAAATCCAAAAATATTTGATTCGAAAATTGACCATTTTAATTACAAAAATATGCAAGGAAGATATATATATATATACATACATCACCCATAAATTTCGAACAAAAGGACAAAAGTATTTTAGGCATTAAATCAACCACAAGATGATAAAAGTCCAGATTTTAATAATTCGGTTGTACTTAATACAGGTTCAACTGTATAACCAGTTAAAAGGTAACCATTTGAACATGACATATTAATCTCTGGATGCGTTCTTTCTGGCAATACTTGGATATAACGAAACCAGCTGTCGGTTAAACGAAGATGTGTTATTCCACCACGTCGTTTTAAAATATTGTACAGTTCAACGAGGGGCTAGAATGAGATAAAAAGGAATGATTTACATACAAAATAATTTTCAATTAGAGTTTTTACACATTTGAACTCATCAGTCAATCATTGTTAGACCACCATCAGAAACTTGGAAGTACTGGACAGCCGTTTTGTCCTGGTATGGAATTCATCAGCAGTGCGCATCCACGACTCCTGCACCTCGCAGGATTCGAACCCGGGACTTTCGGTATTGTGCGCGAACGCAGTAACATATAATTTCTGAAGTAAAATCTACTGAACTAAGATATCACGACAGATATGTTGAAATATGTAATTAAGGGAACTAGTTTAATAATCCTACTTTTAATTACCTTTTAACAACAAAACCACCAAGTGATAGGGAGTTCAAAGCAACTTTTACTAAGGGGGATTTGTGGAGATTGTGAAATTAGGAAGTACTAGACAGCTTTTTCGACCTAGTAGAGGACACCTTGATAGTATGTACCTAGGATCGTATCGTCAAATTTCGCAGTAGGCGTTTAACATGTAGACCACTGAGTTGGCAACCAGTGGCTTACATTCCTAACCTCAGTCTAGTGGCGAAATTACACAATCATCACCCAATGCCACAAGCGGGCAACTGCCAGTGAAGTTAACTATGAAAGCAATTAGTTAGCAGTATAACAACTTGAATCAACCATACATGTCTTTAGAGGATCAAGCTAGTAAAACTTTGTGCAGTGGAAACTTAAATGTCAAAGTATAACCCAAGCGAATAACCCATGTTTTTAGTGATAGAATTAATCATTATTCATTGTAAGCTCTTCCTGAAATATATGACTTTGATTGTTAACTTAGATTACAAAGTATTTTTTTCATAATGTCCATATCCTATATAGCAATGAAACATTTGTAGAACCAGCGGTACATATATATATATATATATATATATATATATATATATATATATATATATATATATATATATATATATATATATATATATATATATGGCCAAACATCTTATGAGTGGCACACGCAGAATCCATAAACTATTCAATATATAACAATGTATTATGTTAAGTTAGTTTTTAAGCACGTCTTTTGTAAGTTAATCATTTCAACTCTAAAAAAACATTAGGTTATTTTATCCTTAATTCCAGAGAGACGAGGAACTGAAACAATTTCAACATATCATAACGAATGGGGATCACTTCAATGAGACAAACATACATAATTTACCTGTATATATTGTGTATAAACTACAAATGGTCGTCCAATAGGTAGAAATTGAAGTAATATTAAAGTTAAGTCGACTGGATGAAATCGACTAACTATGACTAGTGAATCAGGTGAAGGACGATCGTTTCCGAAAATTTGATTGAATGATGAAATATACTGTTCATTGCTTTTGGACTGTTTTGATATGTCTTGATCTACTGAAAATAAAGAAACAGAAGTCGTCAGTTTATTAGAACAAGAATTTTTGTTACTGGATAACAAGATCTGAACTAAGTCATATTTGACATGGAAGTGAACTGTGTTCTGTTTGAAACTATCACAGCTTCATTTGACTGGATTTTAATAAGCTTGCCAAATTTAAACATCACAATAACACCGCCGTTATTCACTAAAATAATCGGAATGAAAAATCCAGAGCAGACAAGTATGCAGAAAATGCAGAGCTTACAAAAGAAAAATTAGTGTTAAAATTGGTTTCTTAACCATCATTTTTCAGTATGTAGAAGACCAGCTTATCAAGTTGGTAAATCTGTTATTATCGGAGGAAGGTACTACAGGCTAGTAGTTAATGTGAACAAATAACGCAGTGAAAGTTTAGTGTCTTACAATATCAATGGAATTGCACAGAAGATCTGTTATTGACAACTAGGTAAACAATTGCACACTAACCAATAACATACGAACTGGTAGAGTAGTAGTAGGTACCTTATGGTTTACTAGATTATTTTTACTTCGTAGCTATCAATGCTAATACATAGATTATATCTTTTATTTTATAAATTATGATCTTTGACAAAAATAATGTGATATAACAAATACATTTCTCTTATTTGTAAGGATTACCATCTTCAGATGATTTAGAAAGTCACATTAATCATTGGTTAAAAACACTAATTTATTTTAAATTTCAAATTTCTATACGCAAACAACATACTTTCAGTTTGAACTGTTTCCTCGGAAGAGATATCTTCATCAATTTTACGAATCTAAACAAAGTAAAAGATTATTTTGAAAACAATCGCAATTTAAATATATGTTATGTCCCAACACCAATCAATGCGTCTAGATGACTTTTGAGCAACCAATACACAACAAAAACAACAGAACTGATAGTCTATGCCTGACGGTTTCGTTCAATACTAACTAGCCCTGAACGCGAAGGAACATCAGTTCAAGATTCTTATTATATTTCAAACATTTATTTGTATACGTTCAAAACCAGATCGCATCACACCAATAAGCGGAGATTAACAATCATACACGAATGAACCAAAAGTGGCTGTGAGTAGTGAAGACTGTATATGATAGACTGACAGCAAAATAGGAATAGTAAATCATAAGATAATGGTTTATAGGTTAATGGAAAGCTTGAGGCAGAAGAAATATATAAATCTGATAATCTAGTTACGACATACAATAATAATAATAATAATAATAATAATCCATAAATCGGTTCTCTAAGTTACTATTACCTAAATATTCGTCCGGATATGACAATTTGAAAGAATTTATTGGTCTTGGAATAAATATGATTAATGGACTGAAAAAGTAAATATTTATTAAACGGAAGCTAGAGTCGAATTAAATAGCTCGATTCTGAACATATGAACATTAAAATTGGCCAACATGAAATTAGGCTTCACATTGTATAAGAAAATATAAATTTAAAGGGTATTCTGAAGATGAAGTACTTAATAGCTGTGTTAATGTTATGTATGTACGTACATTTTATCTACAAGGAAATAACTCCGCAGTGATGCGAACGAAATATTAAGTTCAAATAACAACGAAAGTATCATGGGTTTAGATCAAGTCAAACAATTTTTAGTGTGAATCAACCTTGGAAATATAGAGATGTAGGAGTTCGAAGATCAAAAACCTACAATAAAATTTATGAGTACGGAGGATTTATCTTGGAGAGTTGAAAAATCCTAATTCCAAACCAATGGAGCACATGGGCTCCAGGATCCTGATGGAACGAATGGTGTATGAACCTACTGTTGTTTACCGACCATCAAGGGATCACATTTACTTTCACTGCCTCACTGCCTTGTGGATAAGAATTTTGTGTCAAAGGCTCGTGGTGTGGTACCCTAAGAAAACCACCTGCTTTGGTTCATGAGTCCGGCCAGTATTCCAGCCCACTTACAAATTCAGTGATTTTTGTGGAGAAAAAATATTTAGGTGCTCGTTTATATCAATGTTTGTGTTTAAATAAATAAGTAATAAAATACACCTGCTGTCTTATGCTCCGGTAAAATTGAATGATATTTGCAACGAGAATAGAATCCACTCATTGACTGCATTAATTAATCTGTCATCAAATTTCATAGCCTAATATAAATCAAGAAAACCTGTCTTTAGTCGGCAGTTCAAAACTTTTTGGAACTTTTTCATATTTAAGAATAAACTTGGACTTTTTAGGAGTATCATTATTTACGAATTATTTAGAGCAGAGAGAAGTGAAATACAGGTGGAAAATCTTCATCCTAGTGGAGTGTTATTTATTTAATATGCGTGGAATGAAATTTGCTTGAAACCGCTTTCATCTATCTAAAGGTCTAACAGGAAAAATGGGATCACATGATTTAAAATGAATATACAGTATAATAAGTAGCATGTATTACACGAATAATTTTACTTGAACATAGAGTACGTAATAAACAAATGGTTTAGATTCAGTAATGGTGTATATTTTAAGCTATCAAATTCAACCACTGTTGATTAAGTAGGATTTATACCTTATCACTTAAAAGAACAACAAAACAGAGTTAGACAACAGACGTGAATAGATCAATGTTAGACCACCATTGGAAACCTGGAAGCACTGGGCAGCCATTTCATTTTAATATGAAACTCTAACACTGATCGATTCATGACTTCAATGAAACCCAACAATCTCCACAACCTTATAGTGACAAAAACATATTCCAATATACTGTACAAACAACGCTTTGAGCTTACTACATAATTAAGTCTATTTGTACGGAAAATTTGTACAACACAGTGCACAACGATTACTTACTTTAGCCGGAAATTCGAAATCGTTAGTATTTAAATGATTGGGCTCAGTATTGTGGTTGTTATCTAAAGTAGCCTTGTATAACAGAATTGGTATTACATCTAATAAACGAACAGGATGTACCTAAAACAAAAATAATTTTAGACATTGCAAGCAGATACTTGAAAATAAATAACCATCAATTTGTCTGCTCAGTTAAACAACCTTTAATAATAATAATGTAAAAATTGGTTAACAGCTAACAATAAAAGAATGTGTATTAACATTTCAATATAGAAATGATTAGACCAGTAAATTATGTGATTTGGTTCTTAAGCAAAATCAGTTGATTACGAATGAAATTTAATTCAATCAACTGAATGGAATTCATCATTCTACATCAACTTTATTGACTACGAGAAAGCGTTTAATAGCGTGGTCAGGACAACACTACGGCGTGCCTGAGAAGATAGTCAACATCATACGGAATTCTTATGATGGATTAAACTGCGAAATCGTGCTCGGAGGACATGTGACAGATTCATTTGAGGTGAAGACTGGTGTTGGGCAAGGTTACTTACTTTCACCCTTCCTCTTTCTCCTGGTATTGGACTGGATTATGAAGACGTCAACATTTGGAGGGAAAAAACTGATTTATACCTTCGTGAATCGCATCTTCTATTTTCTATTACTGCTGATACTATTACTACCTCTACTATTCTCGGATTGGGACTGACAACTTCAGCTTTATGCTGATGGGGTTTAGTAACTTGTATGTGCGTGCAAAGTTATACATAGCAAATAACAAACCAATTTCATGTCTTTTATTGCTCATCAAATTTTATCGATTGAAGCTGTAATGTAGTAGCTAGCCTGTGACCCGACATCGAATCCGTGAAAGAGCACCAGTTGTCGCACGATTAGAGGTACATTTTGTTAGTAAGCGCCAGTAATATGAAACTTAAGTCTAGTGTTTTCAGTTGACTACCTTCAACTACCTAACAAAGTTACTATGGATCTGACGATACAACCTAGATTAAGGTGGATGATCCACACTTTTATTAAATGAAATGCAAGGCAAAACATCTTACTTTATTACTGTACAGATCTGCATATGCAGAACTAATTTCTGATTTTGGGACCGATGAACCATGATAAAATTGAATCACAGATCCTTTTGGTTGATCTATACCAATACGTTCGAGTACAGCAGTTGTGATGAGTCCAGAACAAGTTTCACAAAGGAGAACAGTTGACCCTGCATGAATATTAGCATAAGACAGGATACGACATACTGTCTCGAAACGCAGCCCACTTGAAAATTAAAATATATATAAAATGACAAAGATATTGTAATGGTTGATAATCCTAGTATAAACTAATCGGCTCTGTTCAGACAGTCAGACCTCCAAGAAGTTAAGCGCTCTGACATAGTTATAATGGCTGATGACTTTAATGCTCAAGTGGGCAGAGTAAGTGAAAAGGAAAGACACCTCGGTGGATCTTATGGTGTCACGGCTCAGAGAACAGACAATTGCGACTGTCTGCTGCAACTATGCCCAGATAACCGCCTATTTCTAGCAAACACTAACTTTAAGCATAAGGAAAAACATGTCTTGACCTGGCGACCCCCAAAGTGGTCACAACGCTGAACCCGACTGTTACGTATGCACGTAAACATGACATTTTGATATGCTTGAATTAATACGAGTTTACCTTAGTCGGAAAACGAGAGCGAGGATCCGGCGACACGACATGCTACTCTAATCCGGTTGTCCCAACCCTCATTGAATAAAAGAAGAAGACTTGATATGAAGTAGAACCTGTATTCTACAAATATCCAGAAAGTACGACGTCCGAAACCAGAAGAGAATCAGGATCCCGGACTAGGGATCCGGGTGCGGGTCATAAAACGTTACAGATAATATGTATTTATACATTTAGGTCGACGTCTGTGACATTGACAGTTAAGGCGACCAACATTTGAAGTGACATTGAAATTCAGGACGAACAATAAGAAACAACATTGAAGTACGTGACACTGATATCTAGGACGACCATAAAATTGACCAGTATGAATTAACCAATAGGAATTGACCAATAGTTCTCTTAGGATATTGGATGATTATTTTAACACCAACTAGATCACATCGCCATCAGCCACCGATGGAGGGGTTCGAAAGAGGACTGTCGCTCGTTCTGGGGCACATGTTTAGGTTCGGATCATGCCATAGTGCGAGTGCGTATTTGTTGGCGACTTACTGGACGTAGGAAAAACTCTTAGGGTTCTACTTAATGATAGCACAGCTAAGAATATATTTCAGGAACAACTAGAAAAACAGGTAGGCAGCCATGTAGTAAGTGATTCCCATCCGGAGGCAGCTTGGAACGATATCAAAGAGGCTGTAGAAACAGCAGCGATATCTACTAGTAAGGTAAACCATAAGGCTAGGAAGAAGCCGTGGGTCTCAGTAGTATCCACCGAACTGATAGACGCTCGTAAACTAGTACCACCTGGCTCTGATCATGACGAAGAGATAAGTCAGCTTAGGCGTACGCTGATAAAAAGCCTACGCAATAATCGCGAACAGTGGTGGTAGCGACCTGTCTGGCATTGTAGAACCTATAGGAATGTATGTTCCAGCCAATATAGCTAGGTTGGGTCATCACGATAGGCAAGCCCAACCACCACGTCAAGGTAGTAACTACGGTCGTGAATCGGCTCTGTTAAATCAACTAAACCTTTTCACACAAACTGATAAAGTAAGTAAGCGAAATATTGAGACAGTTTGAAGGAGACCTAAAACAGTGTGTGGTCACGTCTTGTCTCATTGCCAAAGAAAAGATTGGACTTGTGATTCATAGTAAAAAGGTTTCGTAAGATGGTCGATGGCCAACATTTCTGCCAACAGGAGGAGCAAAGGCCATTACTAGTCATCTTTGTCTATAAAAGAAAGATTACAGCATAATCAACAAGTTAATCAAAACAATCGGGCTATCGTCTTGTTGGATTAGGACGTTGATTTACGCTTTATTGCACCGACTTCAAAGTCATCGGTCTACATATATCACAATATCAGCCATCTGCTTTGGGTCAGACAATCTTAACAGCTCAGTAGAAAAAGTAAAGGTATTCACCTAGAACAAACATCAATCGCAGTTCAAGAAATCCTGAACTTTAGTATATTCTATTTATTTAGCTACCTGAAAGTGAATTAATCTCACATCTATAACACTTAGCGGCCCATCTTCTTAGCACTGTAGCGAAATTAACTAAATATAGATTTTACTGGAAAAAGTGCTAAACAAAATGCACAGAATATATTTGTTACCGACATAAACAACGTTATGTACATCTTAACTGCACTGCAATAGAGATAAAGCTTTAGACACATACCATGAAACTAAAAGCGTGGTTTGTGTTTTGACAGGATGTAAACAGACACCCATGATATAAAGCCTAAACAAATAACTTACAGACACTTTTCAGGACGGAGATTACTGTACGTTTCAAAGAATATACGTGCTTGAGGTTTTTCGATTGAGAATAGGCCTAAGTGCCGATTTTTCTTTTTCTTCAGGTACTTTTGTTGAGAGAATTGTGTTCTTTGTTCAAAAGTTGTGCTACCTTCTATTAACTGGTCTAATATATCCTAAACGAGATTTAAGAGTTTGCTTTTATTACCTGTCCAGAAACCCCATTAAGACGCAACTGTTCGATACATGGACCACTTAGTTTTTGATTGGCTTGAGAACCTTTAATATTTCTGTTATCCTTTAATCCAAGATCGTTATACTTTTCTTCACTATGTATTGGATTTTCTATATCCTATAATGAGCTAAGTTAGGAGTGGTTAGGAAACCAACAACTAGAGATTTATATTTAATTGGATGAACTTGATCTCCAGAAACCAAAAATGTGGAGCCGAACGGAACACCGATCGCATTTCTTAGAGAGAACACTTTTCCATCGAATGTCTCTTTCCTATTATGAGATGATCGTAATATGGAAGTAGGAGTTACTTTTCTGAGGAGATTTTGACAAGTTTGTAGCAATGTTCTTTGCGTATCAGAGCAAACGCTCCCTCCGTAATGAACATTTTTCAAATTCAAACTGGAGAAATTATTTCACATAAATGTCGTGGCTGTAAGTGAAGCATTTAATAAGAAAGTAACAAAATAGGTTCCAAAGCGTGAGTATAAAACGTTTTACAATGAAGGGTAGAATTAAGAGTAATATTTGCTACTTTTCCCAATACTAAGAGAACCATAAAAAGTTAAACATTACCCTCAGCAAACTTTTAATATCATGCTCTTGTGTGCTACATCAATAAAGTTTTAGTCAATTTTATTCGTTGAAATATCTACAGTTAATTGCTTGGAGAAACAAACAATGAGAATAAGGACAGATGCGCGACAAACGTCCCCCAGTCACAGAAAACTAAGAATGCGAGATGAGATCCTAAATAGACTAATAAGAAGACATTTGTAGGCATTAAGACAGTGATGTGGCAAAGTATAAATCTATGTGTTATACGAACACATTGCTGCATCCTTGATCATTCACCCGGTAGCTAGCTATAAGGTAGTCCTTAATGAAATGAAAGGATAGGATATGCATATTGAGTAAATTACACCTAAGGGTAGAGTATCAGCACATGGACAAACCGAAGCGTGTGCGCCAAATTTAGCGCTCTGAAATCTCTCGTTCAATTTCTTTACGACGGGCCTGACTAAATCGACTGTTTTTGCCCACATCGTTTATGTATCCACGAAGTCCTAGGTTTTTTGGTAATGTCCAAACGGATGATAGTCTTACTACTCAACCGCATTATTTTGGTCAGTTTGATTAGTTTTGTGAATTCGTGTGCCTTGTAAGTCGCTTCCAATATCCAATATCTTTTTCACGAGCTAGTATAAACCAACTGATTTCTTTGCGCTCGATTCTTGTTCTTTCGGCACGGTTCTAGGTGTTCGGTAGTGTCCAATGAATGAAAGTCTAGCCACTCGACTGTCTAACTCTAGTCAGTTGGCAGTTGGTTGTGAGTTTGTATGTCTCAGGATTTGAATGAAAAAGTTTGTTTCAGGGCAGTGGGGTTTCTGGATACCAGCAACTATCACATTACCAGACGGGACATCAGTTAGTTGCAATTTGGAGAATAATAAGGATAAAATTGTAATGCTATCATGAATGAGATTTCAGGACTAGTAGATAAATAGATAATTTAGTTTATCAATTGGTAGAGATGATTGTGAGAGAGGACCGAAGTGTGCAGGGAGAACATTCCAAGTTGCGACGACTCGCAATGAGAAAAAGTGTGCACGAACCTGAGTATTTGCTCTTTGATGTGTAATCTTTCGATGACTCCCTCGACGGGGGTGGAGGTGATGCTTCGGTAAGATGCTCACGTAGGGATTGTTTGCCTTGCATAATATGTTGTACGTCATAGTCAGATCACCTGTGATCCTTCTGTAACTACGTGGGAATAATCCGAAGTGCTAGAGTCTATCGTTGTAAGGTTCATTTTCCAACCCTGTCACCCATTTAGTTGCTCATCTCTGCACCTGATCCAAGAGATTTATGTCTCTTGTAAGCAGCGGGAGTGAAATTACGTTGTGAACCTACAAGTGTGGGCACGCGTATGCCTTAAATAATGTTAAGAATAAGTGTGGAGTGATAGCATCAGGTTGTCTTCACATAAAGTGGAAAGTCACATTTGCATTGGCTACATCCCCTACATAGTTTGGACTCGTGTGTCTGTGGTTATTAAACCATGTCGCGCTTTGAGGACACATTAGGGAGCTGACTTTCATTGAGGATGTAAATCGTTTGCGTCACGACCTGCCTTTCCGAAACCCGTGTTGAGCTTCATGGAGTATTTTATCCTTATCCATGCAACTTCTATTCCTTCAGCCTAGTTATAAAAAACCAAAACTTTAGGGTCTGTCATTGTTAGGTTCGTTTATCGAACCAGTCACCCACTTTGTTGCTTGCTACTTTACTTGGTCTTAGAGATTTATATTCCTGTTCAAGAGATAGTAGTGAAAAGTGTTTTGACTTTCAAGGTGTTTTGGATAGTGCTTTTTAGAGTGTTAAGAATAAATTTTCAATGGTGGCGCCCAGATGTTTTCGTTCAACCCAGATGATTATGAGGAATAATATGACTTATTTATGTCGAATAGGCTGGTACGTAGCATTTTACCAATTTAAGTTTTAACTACTTGTCCACCGCCTGTTTTCTCGTGTCGTTCAGTAAATTAACTTGAATCCTTCTTGTTTCTTGAGGACCTCCGTATTTTGAAATCATTAACGTATACGAGTGTCTGTGAGATAGCTTTATGTAAGAAATTATCAGCAAAAATTTTGGTGATTTGTCCTACAACCTTTTGTTGTACCACATATACATTTGAGTTTGTTCACATCTAATTTGGTCAAGCCCTTATTTAACAGACAGAGTCATTCGGATGAGCTGGTATGGTTGAACATTCTACTCTCAAACTGAGGTTTGAACTGAGAAATAACTGTCTAGGTAGATTAGATACGCGTCTTGCCCAGTTGCTTTATAACACAGAATGTTTCCTATTCTCGAAGAGTGCTTCAATTCACAATGAAAGTGAAAAATTCCAGTCAAAGCAAGCAACACAGTCAAAGGAGGAACAAGTCAATATGGCTGTCGCCATGACTAAGTATCAGCTTAAATAACACAATGCAGTTCAGAAAGAAACATAGAAACGCAGTCAAGGCAGAAGAATTGAAAACTAATATAAAATACAAATATTATCATCTCAAACGCAATTGAACAGATTAACAAAATGTACAACTGAAGGAATCAATAAGGACATATTACAAATGTATACATGGAGGGATTTTCACAAACAAAGCCTTCGAAAAATTGATCTTACACTAGCCTCTTTGTTACGGGGGGAATGAAGACATTTTGCTGATCAAAACCTTTATATATAAATATCATTAATTTCACTGTGTTTTTTGGGTACATTTGTTTTACTTAACTTATGAACTTGTTTGAATTATTATTTTCGGCCATTTTGGACTCCTGTTTCTCTTGGTTGTTCGTTTGCAGTTTTTTGCTCCAAGAACCTATAAAATAGAAGGTAATTGTAATTATTATAATTATTGTTGTTAGAACGACATTGGTCATCTATTTGTAATAAACCAAGGATATTTTGGTCGATTAATTGTGAATTGTTAATAAACTTTGGTACTTAACTTTGGAGTTTCCTTTTGGTTTAATATTTGGGATCGTGAATTGCAAATAGATCGACAAACTGTGCTTCTAAGGATCAAAGAGCAAAAAATTGGACGTAACACTCTTAAATAATTCGATGATTCATTCACTTTCCCATTTATATATATGTACATTTTACTCCTATTGATTCATTCATCTTGCTTACGAAACTCTTGATGTCGAGAGCCTTCATAAAGCTTGTCGCTGTTTTAACATATCACGAAACATTCCGTTATCCAAGTAATTCTGGAGCATGTCTGGAAATGTATCAGTGAAATTCATCCTCTCAGCACGCTTGACGAGTGAGTGAGGTGCAGTGATGGACACTGCAAAGTCAAAGAATGTAAGAGAAAACTTATTTATAGGTCTCATCAGGTTATCCCACTGACAGATAGTTGACAGACGGTTACTGTCTTTAGTAATTTCTTCATTACTTTGTAGCTAAAATTAAATAATGAGTCCATTTTGAACGAATGACCCATGTTCGCAAAATTTTCGATTGTGAAGCCACTCATAGATACATTGTTGACTCTTTTCAGCTCTGCTAGAGGGTGTTCTCAAAACGTTTGAGATAAAAAGCTCATAGAACGGTCTACATATCCACATTTACGACAGCCAATAGACTAATGAATATGTACTGAAACAGTAAGATATATGACGATGGATATTCAGTATAATTTCTAAACTTTGTACACTGCTCGTCCTGATAAGGGCATGAAAATGAAGCAGTGATGATGTTCATTATCACATCACACTGATTACAAAACCACAGGCATACGAAGCGAAAGCGAAACCATAAGCGAATGATGAGAAGAGAATGAATATGATTGGAATGTATATGTATACAGGAAAATTATTTAACTGACTAACATTTAAGCTAGAAAAATGAATATGTGCGTAGGCTGTGACCAATGCTTAAACTTGAATGCTAATACAAACGCGATAGTAATAAAAGTACAAAGGTATGGACAATTTTTTGTTGTTTGGATGAAAGCTGTTGGTTAAATAAGTCAATAAAAAGTCTAACAAAATTAAACACAAACAAACCTAAATTTATGTGGGGTACTATACATGTGTAAGCTTAGCTTTCATTTTATTTAGAAACATATATCACCTTGAGAACAACAGCCTCGATGTGATTAAGAGAATCTTCTTTTAAGAGTTCCTTCTTTTCAAAGTGTCTGCAGATTTAACGTCTCTATTTTTTCACGACCGGATGTCGAAAAATAACCCTTTTCTTTACAAGAACTGTATGTTCTTCAGATTCAAATGATGAGAAATATAATTTTAGTGGAATTTCTACCTAAATGTAAATCCAACTATACTGTAGTTTATAAACTAGTTTTTTGGAAATAGATCTTCAGAAAGTTCTGTCAAGGGCAGGTCTGATTGCTCGGTGACAAATGATTTGTTGAGAATGACCCAAATAAAATTTTTCAATTAATAACACAGGTACAATTTACCTACCTTTTATATCGACGAAAGTTGTCGATAATCTTCCTTGTTTCGTTCCTCCCTCCTCCTACGGGTCTTTTGAGACTTGCTGAAATGATTAGTCGTAGTTATTAAATATGGCGGTATGTGGTTACCATGGTGAGTGATTATTAGTTTACATAGGCGGTGTTAGAATGAAAAGAATACTCAAATTTTATTTCCAGGAAGCTTTGTATCAAACCGTTTAGTCAGGAAATCGTTAATTTTTATTGCATAAAGTCAGTACTATTTATTTATACACTTCATTATGTTATGAAGTAAGTTAGTGAATTTTTGCCTAGAACAAATAACTACGTTCTAATGGATAATTCATATTAAGGTAGGCACTTCCGGATAGGTATTTTCCTATTCGAAATTAATTTTCAAAAATTGAGTTCGAAAGTCATTAGAAACTAGGGAGCAGTGGATATATCTTGATATAGTTTCAGACAATTTAGAAGTATAAACTAACGGTCTCATACAATATATTATGATACTCAAAAGTGCGAGTGAAGTTTTTGAAGCTAAAAATGTAAAAAATTCACTTTCAAACTGTTTTCACAGATAAATTTGAAGTTTTTTAACTAGTAATTTTGATAAGTTTTCTTTCATCCTATTTTAAAATATTTTAAGGTGTCATACTACATAGTAGTTCGATCTGAAGTATGAATTGGGTTTGATGTTTTCTAAGCAATGTTTAATAATGCAGAAACACCATTTATCTCAGTATCGCTATTGTATAGAGATTTATGAAGCATTTGAAAAGTACTCAGAATTTCAAAACATTATCACTTAAATTGCCCGGATCGATAATATGACGGAAAATGTGACAATTCTATTAATAAATAAATTTCTCAGGAGACTAAATTAGTTTTTAATTTAGATATTATTTTTTTCACATGACATTTTTGTACGAAACCAATTTATGGACAAAATTTGTTAACTATCTATTTGAACAACTGAAT